GATAAAAGAAAAAAGCTAACGCGCCGCTACCGCACCGCGGTGATAAACACAGAAAACCTACCGCGCCGCTGCCGCGACGCCACCAAAAATAACCATGCCGCGACCGCGCCGCTGCCGCGATGATTGTTAGAATAATGTTGTGAATTTTACGATCTGTGACTGTTCAAGACTAGAGCTGTTGTTACCAATCGATAAGATTCGTTGAATCTCATAGTTTTGCACTTGCAAACATTGAAATTCTGTTCGAATTCATGCATTTTTGCATTGTTCTTCAAAAAAACCTACCGCTACCGCGCCGCCACCGCCACAGCGGCAGCGGCAGCGATCGCGCCGCGATGGACATCTCTGATAGATATATGAATTTTCATTTCTTTGAATAAATATTTTGACTTGTTAGAAATTTAACTTCTGCTTTTTCGAAAACAAAATGACACCTACTCATTGGAATGCATTGAGATACTGACAAAAAACGGTAACAGTCTAGAATGTTCTTTAGCAAATGTCCTTGATGAAATGTCCCCAGATTTTTGCCCTTGCAAAAATGTCCCCCAGAGTGAATGCCCTTGGCAAAAATGTCCTTTAGAAATGGTCCTTAGTGGGATGGTCCTCGGAAAAAATGTTCTCCCTTATCAAAATGTCCTTTTACTAAAATATGAATAACGTTCGGTGATAATGTTAGTCAATTAATTTTATTTATTATAACGGAATAGTTTTCATTTTATTTTCCATTTGCAACAAAAAAAGAAAGTCCTTGTAATAATTCTTGTGCCGTAATTTTGTTATTGTTGAACCGATTATACAATTCTTTAGTTTGTTGTTCAGCAATTCTTGATTGAGATCGTTTGTTACGATGTCGCATTCCACTGTTTATTTGAAGAATCAAATCATGAACGGTGTTCACTTCTTTTCGAATTGAATCAATGAACAACCATATATTGGGATGAGTTTTATGTAAACGTCTTTTGAACCTGTGGTTAGGGTGTGTGTATGGGGTGTGGGTGTGGATTTAGATATATTTTATACCCACATCCACATCCACACCCACCCACCCCACCCACCCCACACACACCGACACCCACACCCACATCCACACCCCACACCCATAAACAACTTAAATATGTTGAAATATATTTGGATTACAGCGTCATCTATGTGTCGAGCGACATGATATTTAAAAAACAACAATTGAGAATGAGGGACATTTTTACATGAAAGACCATTTCTCAAGGACATTTTCGCCGTGGACATTTATTCTGAAAGACATTTTTTCAAAGACGAAATCTGGAGGACATTTTTTATAAGGACGAACATCCGAAGACATTTCGTCAAGGACATTTTCTAAAGGACATTCTAACATGTATTCCAAAAAACGAACGTGTATTGTCCATCATCAAATTAATAAAATTAGATGAATGGTCAGGTTACAAGTACGACGAAGATGATGCTTGAATATTAAACTTTTTTCAAGTAAAGAATGGTTTACGACAGATCAAATAATGAAAAACTATGGTTTTAACGTCAACAAATCACTATTTATGACATTTACAATTGGCGGTTTAAGCGATAAGAACATGATATTACTTTCTGACATAGATAATCGTTTTTTTGTGATAAACGCATAATTTGGTCAATATATCTTCGTTTAAACGATGTGACATTAAACATCGTTTCAATGGCAGAATAGTGTTTCCTCAACTAACTGGGTAGTGGGCTACGAAAAGTATTTGCGCCCAGGTCTTGTCTTGGCTGATTTATGGCCGTGTTAATGAATTCTTGATCTCAGATACATTACTTGGTTAGATATGAAATAAAGCAGGTTTCATGCAAAATTTAGCTCATGAACAGATCTTATCGTCATTAGATTGCTTCAAAATATGCATTTGAAATAGACGACACCTTATCTAACAATGAAAGAGTTTGTAGTGATGAGTTCAGAGGTTGACCATGTTCCGGTCAAATGATTGCTTTCACCGAGCCGCTAACGAATTTAAAATATGAGCTGCCATTGGCATGTCTGGACAGAGATCCTTGAATTTCAAGCTATGTGGCATTTAGGTATAAAAATGGGCCAGGGAAGGTTTTATCCATTATTGTAATGACGAAACATAGTGTTATTCGGGCCGATTATACGGTTTGTAGGGACTCTCTTTCATATGGCCCGAACAATACCATGTTTTGTACTTATACTAGAAGAGCGAATTCTTTTACTGGTTGATAGCAAACGCCATTTTCTATGAACTACAGAAAAATTTCACTCTACTATTATAAGGATGGAACTCAGGATTATTCGGACCATATGAAAGAGAGCCCCTGCAAATCGCATAATCTGCCCGAATAACACTGCTTTATCCTTATAATAGTGGAGAAAACCTTCGCTGATTCATTTTTATACCTAAATTTCACATACCTTGAAATTCAAGGACCTCTGTTCAGACATGCCAATAGCAGCTCATATTTTAAATTCGTTAGTCTCTTGGTGAAAGCGATCATTCGACGCGAACATGGTCAACCTCTGAACTTATCAGTACAAACCCTTCCATTGTAAGTACTAAACGATAAAAAACCTTTCATATCTCATGGACGAAGAATAGCACACCAACAAATTTGACTAAGTAATGAGTCAAGAGAAATCTTGCTTTCAAGTCAAAATTTCAGAGCCGTCTAATAACGGTGAAGCCTAATAATTGAGAAAATTTCACGCCAAACCTGTATCATTAGATCTTTTTGCCAGGCTGCTTGTCTAAGGTTGAACATTTACTAAAATCACGATAAATACGAAATGATTAGGAATATCAATGAATCATTCTAGCCTTTCACTAGTCGCATCAAGTTCCACATATGAATGAACTATGAACTGGCTCGACATCTAACAGTTAGAAGTGTATTCCCTTGCAGGCTTTCTACGATTTGTGAGACCTTTAGTAATCGTATCATTTGATACTGTAGTTACGATCAAGTTCACCACGGTGTATGTTACCCGAGGGGGAAAAAGCGAAGTTCAGACTTCAAGGCTTTAAGTGACTTCAGCAGCAGAGACTTCAAATTTTCAAAAGACTTCAGAAGACTTTGAAAGACTTTATGAGACTTCAAGAGATGTCATGAGACTTCATGCTACTTCACAAGATTTTTTGACTTCAGAAGACTTCATGAGGCTTCAGAGAACTTTACAAGGTTTGATGTGACTTCATATGATTTTACAAGACTTCATATCACTTCATTAGACTTCGAGATTGAATGAGCGGTCGAGAAGCCTTACAAATGGCATCGAATTTTTGTGCCACGCAAAATACAGAGTGATGTCATAATCCCGTTACACCTGGTATCCACCGCGAAACAGCAATTACCCCAAGGGTAATGACTATATGTGCTAAAAGTTGAGCATTTTGAGTGGTTTTGGTGTATTACTCCGGGGGAATGACGTCGTTACAGCAAATCTACTCAAAACGCTCAACTTTATAGATATATAGTTTATGTAAGGAGTATTGAAGTCATTACTCCTGTTCGTAAATTATAGATCGGGAAAGTGAATACACTTGATTACTCTGCGAGTATTTTGACGGTTGGCTCTCGATACCCAGTGTAATGGTATTATGACATCTATGGAAACACACTATCGATTAGATACATATAAAAGAGAATTTCTTTTCATAACTCAATGCAATAGTATATATATAGGTATAAACTCAATAATAAAAGAAAATCTAGCTAACATTTTTATTTCAAAATTAGTAAATTTTCAACATATTTCTTCTTTTTTCGTCAACATCAGACTAAATTCAATTCCAATCCATCATGAATATAGAACTTATTCATAAACATTATTCATAATTTCACCATTTTTTCAATGATAAATACTCATGGTAATTTGAAATGAAAATTTTAGATGCGTTTTCTTTCATTATTGAGTTTATATGTGCCCTTATATTGAATTACGAACATATTTATTTTCAGCAACACAGAGTATTTATTTTTGAAACAAATATTGAAATCATGAATAATGTTTATGAATAAGCTCTATATTCATGACGGATTGGAATTGAATTCAGTCTAATGATAAAGAAAAAACAACAAATACATTGAAAATTTATGGATTTTGAAATACAAATTTCAGCTATATGTAATCACGCAAAAGAGCTAGTAAGTAATTTGGATATATTGACTTTGTTAAAGAAACACCGCTTCTGAATTATATGATTTAAGTAAAAATATATTATCCAGAATTATATTGAAGATTAATTCAGATAATTATTCAATAGCTGATTCAGATTCATCATCAAATTCTGAATCTGGTTATAGTGATGAAACAATGGAAGGTAATGAACTTAATAATGATTGGTTCAATTGGAATGAAGAAGATCAAGATAAACATACAAAATGTTGATGAAATTAAAATTAATAGGATGGACTTTAATGTTATATGCATATTCGATTCCATCAATCCAGTATTGGAGAGCTCTTATTGTTAGATTCTAATAAATAATAAGCCTAAATTTATAGATAAGCAAACAGCGTGTTGGTTGTTGACCGATAAAGCTAGATGTTTACCGACTGACAGACTCTCACGAGTGATAGAAACAAACAGGAAAGACTAAAATTCTTCATAACATTGATATCTAATTGACAGAACATTGCGTATGGCAATGCATAACTGTATTAAAAAGAATTGAACTATTAACTATGCTTTCTGAAGTTCAAGCGAACACGATTTTTTTCCAGCAGACTGACAACACAATAAAAGTTCACATTTCTGCTGAAATAAGATCATCAAAAACCTTACGATTTCATTGAATTTATTATGAAGTTTTTGTACACTAAGTCTACGTTGAAAAATCCAGAAGACTTCATGAGACTTCAAGAGATTTCACGAGACTTCAAGAGGCTTTAAGAAAATTCATGAGACTTCGTCAGACTTCACCGAACCTCAAAAGCCAAGTCTCAGTTGTTCTCCCTCGGTTTTAGCTGAGCTTAGTGTAATATCTAATACTGCGGTATTTCGTTAGAAAACCGCGACGAGCAGGAAAATTTGCGGATTCGGTCTTCATTTTTTCTGTGAGCATTATTATTGGAGAGATTTATTATGGAGAACTGGAATTTATTCCAAAAATGTACTCGATCTCATAACAGACAAGCTAATCAAATAATTACAGATAAATTGAGAGCTTTCAATGCAATCGTAGAAATGCTTATCACAATAAGTTTTCTCTATTTTTTAGCAATTTATCAGTGTTGAATATCGACTTTCTGACACTATCGTGATCGTATCAATGACACTCGATGCAGAAAAACACGTTATGCTGTCATATAATTGGAATAACCAAGCTCTCGTATCCAAAATTCATGATATTCTAATTGATGAAGGTATTAAAGTTTGGATGGATATAAACGGAGGCATGGGGGATAACATCAACATCAGGTATGAGTCTTAACACGATGGTTTTTTTGTATGCTTAAATTTGTTATGTTTGTTTGGCTAGCATGGCTGAAGGAGTAGAAAATGCTACAGTTGTTTGTTGTTTTATGACGCCAGATTATCAGAAATCACATAATTGTCAACTTGAATTAGAATATGCTAATAAGAAAGAAATACGTATTATTCCATGTATGCTTGGTGATAAAAGTGATAGAAAATGGAAGCCCTCTAGTTGGTTGGGATTAATAACTGGTGGACTACAATATATAAATCTTCGAGATGATTCTGACTCAAACATTCAATTGAGAGCGAGAGAACTTATTGACAGAATAAAAAATCAATCTTCGGCTTCAACAACAAAATTAGTCCTTGCACCAATAAAATTATTTGAACCAATTAGAGACAAGTATCTCAAAGAAAGTCGAATCAAACGTACAGTCAATGAAGAAAGAAGTTTCCCTATTGAACAAAGTTACATTAATTTGGCTATAGTTGAAACGAAAGAACAACAAGAAAAAGAAAAGAATCTGGAAAGGAGCAAAAACAAGAAGCCAGGGCGAGAAAAAGAGCAAGATTATCGTCGGTCACATTATAATGATGAGATCCTCGGTACTTTTGAAGAGATTTATGGCACAAAAACCCCAATTGATGTCAAGAACATTTTTAAAAAATGCAACGATTACAAAAAGAAAGTTCTCGTGCTTGGGCGAGCTGGAATCGGTAAATCAACCTTTTGTCAATCTGTTACTTATCGATGGGCAAAAAGTGAAATTTGGCCTGAATATGAGCTGGTTGTTTTGATTCGGTTACATTCATTAACAACTAGTCGCTATCCACCTGGTCATAGTTATTCGCTAGTGGACCTTGTCAAAAAGGAATATTTCTTTAACCAAGCACTTTCAGAGAAAGAAGAAACAATTTTAAGAGTACCCTATGATAAAAGTAAAGTTCTTTGGCTATTGGATGGCTATGATGAAATTGCGGAAAACTTACCTACACATCTCGATGACCTAATGAAACAGTTGATTAATACAACTCATCATATCCTCACATCTCGACCATATGCAATTACCTCATCATACGATGTAAAAATGGAAATAACAGGATTCACAGATGACAATATTATCCAGTACTCGAAGCAGTTCTTTGATCAGATTAAAGATACATTACCAAATGCTTTGTCGGAAGGACAAAAGCTCGTGAACTTCTTAAAGGCAAACCCTAGTATGTGGGGTGTTGCTCATATCCCCGTGAATCTAGAACTCATTTGCAGCCTTTGGGGTGATACCAATTTGTCAGACACACTGACAATGACAACACTGTATGATAACATGACAGAATGGTTATGTCGGCGGCACTTAATGAAACAAAATATTAACCACCGACACATGTCAAAAAGAGATGTTTATGACCGATGTCATAAGGAGTTACGATTCCTAGAAACGTTGGCTTTCAAGGCAATGGAATGCAACAATATTATTCTACCACCAGAACTACTCCAGAAGACACAAAACGAGCCTCAGTATTCTTTAGTCGATTATTCACAATTACTGAACATTGGCATTCTCAAATCGTATGATGACAAGCCTACTGGTAATCAAATTTCAACAGAAAAACAATATTATTTTGTTCATCTCAGCTTTCAAGAACACTTTGCCGCACGTCACTTGCTTGAAACTCTTAAGAATTCTGATATACAGAAAGCAATCCCTTTTATCAACAACCACAAGTACAACCAACGCTTTCTTTTAATTTTTATTTTTGCATCTGGTCTGCTGATGCAACCCAATTATGAATCATGTATGAATCTATTTTGGTCAGCCATACAGAAAGAACCCTTAGACCTTGTAGGCTTAAGACACATGAGACTTATTATTGGATGCATTGATGAACTCAGAGAAGATGCAAGCTTTCCCCAACACGCCGCTTACATAGACTTCATCGCAAAGTGGATTGGCATATGCGTTTCTGCCAAGCCATATGTCATCACTGAACATTTAATACAATCGCTCCAACGAACAACGTTCTTAGGTACTGAACCGCGAATACAGAATCAATTAATCAAACTTCTCGAAAATCCAGACGAGTACATGACATACAAAATTTGCCGCATCATATCAATATTAAGGATATCCAACCCTTCGCCATGCCTTCTTTCTAAAATTCTCACAGCACTTTCGAATAAACACTGGATAATCAGAGAGACTGTATGTGAAATATTGAGGAATATGGGTGAAAAAGCAGCGCAGAATGACATAATTGTTGCCCTAATCAATGTGCTTACAGATGAAAACGTGAATGTCAGAACGAAGGCGTGTGAAGCCCTAGCAAATATGGGTGAAAAAGCAGCAACGGATGAGGTGATCACTCGCTTGATGAATGCGCTTAGGAATAAAGATTCGAATGCCAGATCGATGGCATGTGAAGTCCTTGGAAAGATAGGAGAAAAAGTAGCAACGCGTGAAGTGATCGCTGCCTTGACAAATGCACTTATGGATGAAGACTGGAATGTCAGAATGAATGCATGTGAAGCTCTCGGAAGCATGAGAGGAAAAGCAGAAAACAGTAAGGTGATCGCTAGCCTAATCAATGCACTTAAGGATAAAGACTGGGGTGTTAGACGAATGGCCTGTGAAGCTCTTGGAAAGATAGATAAAGAAGCAGCAACAGAAGCGGTCATGACTAGTCTGATGGATGCCATTACGGATGAAAATTCGGATGTCAGACAAATGGCATGTGAAGTCCTTGAAAATATGGGTGAGACAGCAGCAACACATAAGGTGATTGCTGGCTTGATGAAGGCACTTACGGATCAAGATTGGAACGTTAGAATGAATGCATGTCAAGCTTTGAGGAACATGGGTGTAAAAGCAGCAACGAACGAGGTGATCACTAGACTAATAAATGCGCTTATGGATGAAAGTTGGAATGTCAGACAGAAGGCGAATGAAGCTCTTGGTAACATGGGTGAAAAAGCAACAACGAGTAAAGTTATTGCTGGCCTAGTGAATGCACTCAAAGATGAAGAATCGAAAGTCAAACAGATGGCATGTGAAGCTCTTGGAAAGATAAGTGCAAAGGCAAAAACGAATGAGGTGATCGCTGGCCTCATGAATGTGTTTAACAATGAAGATACACGTGTCAGACAGAAGGCGTGTGAAGCCCTTGGGAGGATAGGTAAAAACGCAGCAACGAATGACATGATCGCTGCCCTACTCAATGCACTTACGAATAAAGATGCAGCTCTGAGACAGAATGCGTGTGAAGTTCTCGGCAATATAGGTGAAAAGGCAGCGACGGACACTGTGATCGCTGCCTTGATGAATGCACTTACGGATGAAGATTGGGATGTCCGATGGTATGCGTGTAGAGCGCTTGGAGAGATGGGTAAAAAAGCAGCAACCGATAAGGTGATCGTTGGCTTGATGAATGCGCTTACGGCTGGAGATTGGGCTCTCGAACAGATAGCGTGTGAAGCTCTTGGGAATATGGGTGAAAAAGCAGCAACAAATGAGGTAATTGCTAGCTTGACGCATATGCTTACAGATAAAGATTGGGCTGGCAAACAGCAGGCGTGTGAATCCCTTGGAAATATGGGGGAAAAGGTAGCAACGGGTGAAGTGATCGCTAGCCTGATGAGTGCAGTTATAGACGAAAATCCGTACGTCAAAACGAGTGCGTGTAAAGTCTTTAGGAACTTGGATGAAAAAGGGGCAACCAATGAGATGATTACTAGATTGGTAAATTCGCTTGCTCATCGAAAATTTGATAGTCATCAGGATTCAGCTACTATTGTTCTTGAATGGATCCTGTCTTCGTATTCTGGAGCGAAGGGTTTAAGTTCACAGACGGTGACGAAACTGTACTCATTTATTAGAAGAAATGAGATAATACACTTGACAGCAGTACCTTCAGAGAAATGGATAGTGGCATTTTTGGAGACGAGAAACGATGTCTGGCTTCCATTGGTTGCTCATATTGCACTACTTCAAGGCATTGCTGTGACTGTCGTCGATAATACTATCACGATCTACGACAATAAAGATCCATTTAAAATTAATGTGTCTGGGTATGGATTGGTGTTGACGTTGGTAAAAGCTTTCCGACAACAGAAGATGAAACTCGGAGACGACTTTACTGGAGTCAAAAAATCTGAAATTAAAACGGCAACATCATCATCAGTCTGCAATATTCTCTGATGGTACTCCAAATGATCACAACGTAGGCTTACTTTTTTGTGGTACTGATATTGACGAGTTCTGTTTATGGACTTCTTTCGTTTTGTTGTCATTATTTGTAAAAGTTTCAAGTCTCTAATGACTAAGAAATCAGCGCATTTGGTGACGAATTGGAGTGAGTAATCCAGAGATACAACCACTACTGGTAACCGGGTGTGGGTGTGGGTGTGGGTGGGTGTGGGTGTGGATGGGTATGGAAGTTGATATCTCATCAATAATCCGCCCATAGCCACAGCAACACCCACACCTCACACCCACACCCACCCACACCCTAGATACTTCTGTCTGTACTTAGAATAGAGATAATTCAAACACTGAAAGTGCTTTTTTCGGACTCTTTAATGGTGTTAGATGAAATTTATTACAGCTACTGACTATGCATCATGATACGTTCTCTATACATAGATTTGAATGACATATACAATGTATATTGATTACGAAGCGAATACGGGACGAATACATCCTGTTAATTTAGTCACTTGAAGAAGCACTGTAATGAGCTTTTATATGGTACATCATGTAAAATCGTTTGTATTTTACATTGTTGCATAAAAAAACCTATAGGGATATTTTCGAGATGTTTTGGCAAAATAGTCCGAAAGAAGATCGTATACAGCTTCGTTTACGTGTCGTTAAATGCTAGTTAGTAATCGCTCCGTAAACGTTTTACCATTTATACGTAAATACACAGTAAACAGATCTTCGTGAACGAAATTCTACGGAATACCGTAAAGACACCTTTTTTTATCGGTTAACTGACACATACGGTCCATTCTATCTGACCTGGGTATTTAAACTTCATGAGAGAAATACAATATATACAAAAATAAAAGAACTATTACCAATGAATCAATCATATATAAAATATAAATGATACACGAATAATAAAGATAATTTATAGTACAATAGAAACTGCACCATTAAGTAAATTATTGCCCGATCTGCAAATAGTAAATCATTCTGTAAGTTGATAATTTTAAATCAGTTCATGATCGTTTGTGATAATTAATTTTCACTTGTACAATTGCATTCATTAGTTATGGAAATCATTTAGAAGTCTCAAAATTACAAACACAATGTTTAATAGGTAGCCACGTATGTTGTTCAATTCGGTCTTGACCAAATTGGGAAGATAACTAATGTTGACTAAGTATTGATGAACTTGTTTTTATTTTCAAGATAGATCTATTTTATTAATATATTTTCGAAAAACATTTTGTCAACCATTTCAAATTAAAGAAATAAATAGTTATTTACTTAAATTAAGAATTATTTCAAATTCAATTGATCATGTTGATATATGCAGTATAGAAGCATTAAATAATTGTCAAAATTATTTTTTCAAATGTTATAAATTTTACTTTGCGTGAAATGATTCAATGCATCATATACTTCATTTACAAGCAATATAGATCATATTATTCCTTCACTAAAAGTTATCAAGATAGTCATTCCATGTTACTATATTTCGAATTTTATTGAATTTTATTTGAAAATTCATAAGATTAGTGCCATAAAACTATTTGATCCCCTTTCATTGACAACGAAAATAAAATTTATTCGTACTCCTAGAATAAGCGATATAAATCATATTGAAGGGTATGGATGTCAGTGGAAATTCGTTTCTGTCCAAATTGAGACCCATACTGACCCACATCCACATCCCTTCAAAAGCGAAGAGCGCCGAAGATATTGGCTATGTGCAGGATATTGTCTTGACAATCTAAACGAAAGGCTTGACAATGGTGAGTATCAAAATGGACTTTCTCTAATGGTTGTCTCATTGAAATGAATTTCAGTTGTATCGTTCTTCTACGTATTTTCTAATATGTTGTGTTGAAGATTCTCAAGAAATATGTTGAAAAATGTCAAACTTTCGAACATAAGATGTTTCTGTATTCGAGTGAGTGCTGAAACTGTAAGCGAGCATAGAAAATGAATTTGGTCTATACGTTTCTTTATTTCGCAAGATCCTTTCTAGTCATTTAAACATCCTTACAGATCAATGTTCGTCAATGAAGATCATGCGAAACATCTGTTCAAATGTCGGAAGTAACCTTAGATGAATCTATCATGCAACCTTCTAAATATTGTCTATACTATTCAACTGAATTCTAGTGCATCCGTTCATAGTCGAAATTATTTCAACAACATCAACTTGAATCAGTGATCTTGGTTGAAAGCAAAGAAAAAACTTCGATCATTTTACTTTTATTCGTTTGTCTCAAGACTTTTCTGTTTTTTGCATAAAAGAAATAATCAGAGTAATTCTGTTTTATTATTCTTAGATGATTGTTTATTAACTTGAATTGATTTATTGTAAAGTTCAGCCGCTTCGTCACATTCACCTTTACCTCGAGCAATTTGTGCAAGTTGAAAATAGAGCGCTGAATTGCCAGCTTCACTGTTTTTTTGTTTAAGTAGATTGCATACTTTTTGAGCTTTGTCAAGTTCACCAAGTTTGATCAGTAATTCATTCAGTCGATACCATCCTTTTGCAGTAGCAATTTCTTCTCGCATTTCAGCCATAAGTATACTAAGTTTTGAATTGATTTCATTTGTGATAGTAAGCTTGACCTGCCACAACATATTTTTATTATCGATTGGAGTAATGTTACCAATACGAAATATAGAATGTGTCGAGAAGAGAACTTCTTTTTCCGATTCGAAATCGCTGACTTTTTCGATCGCAGCAAAAGGAACCGCTGCCATTGTTAGATCAATAGTCATGTGAAAGACTACGCCCACTGAGTCAGGCTTCTTTTCAAGACCACGACGACTAAAATTAATCGATACATCTTCATTTTGACTAGTCGATAGGAAATTATTGAATGAAATCAATCCACCTTTCATCTTCTTCAATTTTTCAAACTTAGCTTTGGTAAACGTTTGTCCTCGATAGACAGTTAAGAATTGTCCACCATAGCTATGGATCGTTTTCGAGTGTAGCGTTTTGAGATCTCTGTGAAGATCACGAATGAAGAATCCCATCTTGAGAATAATATCTACATCAAGAGTACCCAGAGCTCGATTGAGCATGTGGTAAATAAAACATTCACAAGTGTACCACCAGGTAGGTGAATGTTGTCGATATTCTTGTTCAAATTGATCAATCTTTTTTAATTCAGCCTGATTGTCCTTGTACTTCTCGCGGCAATACTCAGCAAGTTCTTTGATAGATTTTTCATCGTTATCGTCAATATCCAATAAAATCTCTTTGAGTAATTGACCGTACATAAAATTTAAATCAGATTGGTTTAGATGTGTACTGGATGATGATGCGCCACTAGCCGAGAGAAAACTCATTGGCATAGAATCTTGATTAAAATTGTGTGTAGTTTGATACAATGATTTACAAATCATATCGATATGGGTGAGTATACCCTTTACTTTAGGCCATTCGGTCATTAGATGTTCGTAGCGAGCTTTGTTACCACAAAAAACAAAGATAGAATCGAGTTGAGCCATTGAATGAACGATGGGTATGACTTTTTCACCAAGACTACCAGATACAACCATGAAAGCTTTTTCGTCACGAACATTTTTAAGAAAATCCACACATGGCTCAATAGCAGTAAATGTATCAATGCTACTGACAATACGTCTTAGACGAGTAAGTGTGTTACAACAGTCTGGATTCGATCTGTTAATATTAGCATCTAGCCAAATGAGGCGAACATTTTCAACTATCTGTGATAGTTTAACAGTAGTATACGGCGATGTATCAGTTGCTTTTTTCGAAGTGACAAGCAATGATTTAGCCATTTCTTTGGTTTTTGAAAACATCGTTGTCGTGTAGTCGTCGAAATATAATGATGAAAGACTGATTGTGTTCGGACCAAAAATGATATTTTTTATCACGCTTCATTTTTTTTCTATTCATTTTCGTTCTCTTACGAGTAAATACCTTCGTCTCTTGTTCGATCATCACATATTTTGTATAAAACGACCACGTGAAAAAACTGGTCATGCATAAAGAGCGAATAGTAAATGACGTTACATTTTTTTACTTCTAGTTTCTCTGCTGTATGTAACTGAAATGTTCTGAAGAGAAATAATAGATCGAAAGCAATCAATAACAACGAGAAAATTTTCATTTACGAATGATGAGGGCAATATCATCAATAAAACATAAAATAAGAATCAAGCCATGCATCCAACACACTTGTAGAATATTTTGTCTAATTAATTATCAAAGAACAAGATTGTTGCTGTCGAAATTCATGAGCACAAACCATATGTTTCAGAATTCTATGCTCAAGTACTCGGTGATTTCACTGTTTTTATCAGTTCTATATTGACAACAAGGAAAAATAAAGTGTAGATGTGGAGGGCAAAGCCGTATTATTACTATTTCGAAATGAATTATCTCAGTAATATTTTTGGAGTACTTTCGGTTTTAGTTATGCACAGTGTTCATTATTATTAATTAATTCAATTATGAAACAAATGTTTAAATATGTAAAAACTCATACATTTTCAACAGCAGCCTTTGTTCTTTCAAACGAGACATCACCATTCTCAGTACAGTGTTCTGTTCAATTACTACGTTGCCTTTATTTTAAAGAAGTAATTCAACTCTTGATTTTCTGCTATTTTTTCGTTGTTTTCGTGTTCCTTTATTTAAAAGCGTTATAAAGTTTAACTAGAATGCTTCGCTGAGAGCGGCGATGTCTCTTTTGAAGAAACAAATGCTACTGTTCCAAATGTATGAGTTTTTACATATTTAAAGATTTTTTTGATAATTGAATCAATTAAAAATAATGAACACTATGTCTAATTAAAACTAAAAGCACTCCGAAATATATTACTGAAATAATCCATTCTGACATAGTAATAATAGTCACTAATTATGAATAACTAGTAAATAATGAGTAATTAAGTAATGTTCCAATAGGAGGATAAGTACTTTTTACCAAAATATAGCCCGTTAAATTCTGCAATGAACGGTATATTAAAGAGTTTTTCAATCATCATAAAATAGCGAGAAAATTAGTTGAATACTAAGAATGATGCTAAACTTTTATCCGCTAGAGACAATGGATTTGCCTAATAATAAATAAAATATCGATGCTTTAAAAATTTTTCACGCATCAATCTTGTAGGTTGCTTTGAGTTCTATCAAAGTCACTATTTAGATATTTCCAACAAAGTGTTCGTAACAAGAAATTAAGAAAATAAAGCTGTTGCGAAACGTTTTTTCCGCCACTTTATTTATAAACAACCACAAACACGTTGCATGTCTGCAAGTTTAACTACATTGAAAATTAATGTCGTATATTTTGATGATTGTCTTTATCTTCTTGATGAATATCTCAACTGCTTATCGATATTGACTATTACTGTGAAAATAATTGGACATACAAGAGCATGCACAACCACCAGCGTAAGTGGAATTTTGGTGATGATATTTTGAGAGAAGACATAATTTGAAATACTTCTGATTATCGTCGATTAGTAAGACGTTTTCTTCTGATGATCGAATTTTTCCAGTACTACGTCAGATGACAAAATCTAGAAGAATTTATATTATTTTTGTCAGAAGGAGTATGTTTGATAAAGTACGATGCTTGACGATGAATGATACGCATCCTTTTGAACAGCAATTATTCTAAGTTATTTCTCAAGATTTTTCTTTGCTCAAACAGCTGGTTATACATTATGTTATACCACAACAAAACAAGCAACATTCATCATCATTAATTAGATTTTCTCATCTTATTTTTCTTAATCTGGTTGAAGCACTTGTTGATTATGCTGAACAATTTCTTGTCGATAAAAATACTCATTTACCTTGTTTATTGGAGTTCTGCATCAAATATGAATCTTATCAATGATGCAACACGTTTGACTTGTGCTTAATTAAAAAGACTTCATATGGATGACTTGTTTGCTCAACCAAAAAGTTTTCAAAAGTATTTTCCTTTATAATACATAGCTTTTTGTTAGAAATTCTTTCAATAAAAGAAAATAGTTTGGAGAAGTTAAATATATTTGAATTATCTCAAATGAAATCATTATAATAAGAAAAGAAAATATTTTATGTTCTATACTATATTTCAACAAAAGTATAATTCTGTTATTGTTTTGTTATTAACAGTTATTTATCTATGATTTAAAGAATACTTGAAACATGGATTAGATCATTTCTTACTAACGAAAGCGTTTTTTTGGCTTATGTACAGTCAGCCCAAAAATTATCGAGACATTTAAAGCTACACCTACGTTTTCTCAAAGTCGATATTGGTTCGAGCACATGCAAATTGCATGAAATTTTCAGGATATTTTTGCATCCCAAATTTCTCTGTCCAGGCTCATTCTGTACATTTACTGTTTTTTGTTTGAAAGAGCATGTCGGCATGCAGGACATGACATAGTTCTTTTTTTGAGATCTTAATTTTTAAGCAAAGAAAAGTAAATTTTTCATCAAGTAAAATAAGTACAGAGTGTTCCAAAAGTCCGGGCCAAAAGTAAATTAATAGAATTCCACTATTTATCAAACTTAATCAACCGATTTTTTTCCGATAATAGATATCAGTGTGAAGTTTTTGTTTTCCCGGACAAACTTTACAAATACTGTTGAAAGTTATAACTTTCCACTAAAACATCAAAAGCAGTCCTTTTTTGAGCCCTTCGTAGTGTTTCTCTTTCAATATCTCAATTTCTTGGGTTTCTTGTGACTTTTATATACGTTACACCTTTCGCTGTTGTTTATATGCATTCGTTGTGATATGTCGGTGCAAAATAAGCCAAATAATGTCAAGTTCCACGACCTTGAAGGTCTTGAGATCGGTTTGTCTTCCTCAGATCATCAGTCATCATTTCAAAATTTAAAACGATCTTATGAGCTTCGTGATCTTAGAAGTTGACATTATTAGGCTTATTTTCCAAAGACATGTCACAACGAATGCATATAAACGATAATGTAAGATGTGACCGGTATAAAAGTCACAAAAAACTCAAGAAATTGAGGTATTGAAAGAGAAACACTAGAAAGTGGCTCAAAAAAGGACTGCTTTTGATGTTTTAGTGGAAAGTTATAACTTTCAACAGTATTTGTAAAGTTTGTCCGGGAAAACAAAAACTTCACACTGATATCTATTATCAGAAAAAAAATCGGTTGATTAAGTTTGATAAATAGTGGAATTCTATTAATTTACTTTTGGCCCGGACTTTTGGAACACCCTGTACATTATTATCCTTTTCAAAAAATAATAGGCGCGGCTGTTATTTGAATAACTTGGAAACGCAAACAACAAGAAACCTGCGAATGTCACTGATCGAAAGAGGAGACCGATGGAGCGTCTTGTTTTCCAATGATGAGTACGAGAAAATCCTTTTACGACTAATTATTTTTGAAAAACGCATAAAAGAAGACATGGAAATGATCTGCCATCTAGATAAAATTTTGATTTTGACCTTTGTGTTAGATAGTGGGACTTCAAATCTATAGTTCAAGATATAATGTGCTTCCTTACGTTTCATTACATTTCTATCGAACTGTCAAGCTAATATGATAAAGTGTGAGAAAAATTATTAAAAAATTAACAAAAGTTCCTTTTATTTATAGACTTGAAGTCGCTCTGGATCAAAGATTAAAATCAAAACTTTATCTAGATGGCAGGTCATTGTCATGCCTTTCTTTATATGCGTTTCAAAAATAATTAGTTGTAAAAGGATTTTCTCGCATTTATCATTGGAGAAAAAGACGCCTCCCAGTCTTCTCTTTCGATTAGTGAAAGCCGTATGTCTATAGCAGCTTGCGTTCCCAAGTTATTCAAAAATCAACCACACCTATTATTTTTTGAAAAGGATAATAACTGCTAAGAATATTAAAGCTAATTGAGAATAATTCAAAAACTGAGTTGTTCTCTGATCATTCAAATCTGTAGATATTTAGCATAGGTTTTGGTATTTGGTCTTGCTTGTTGCTTCTGCCTAAATTGTGACATAAATATTAAATTGCATTAAAACATAATGGAAAAATTCTTCTCTCTATCTCGTCCGCATCCATGTATTTTTTTAAGAGTTACTATAGTTCGATCTATTTGTTTAATAGTGCCAATCCCTGATGTTTTCTGGGTATATCAATAGTGAAGTCACTATTAACTGACTGCCATCATAAACATTACGCAATAAGTTGCTTTAAATATTTTAGTTAGTAAAGCAGATAAGTATATTTTTATAAAATTGGAAGTTCTTCGAAAAACAAGGCAGTACGATATAGTCTTTTTTCGATGAATTCTGTTGAGGTCAAACCTTTTTCAAAAACCTTTATATATGTATTCTGAAAGAGAAGATTTTGATGCATCTACCCAAGATAAAATGTCATTTTCAAGTTGTTTGAAAATATTGACTTTTTTTGAGAGGAAATAATTCTTAATAGTATTTTTAATGTGAATGATATACATGCTATAAAAAAAATATTCATTATACTTTATTATGTTTTATCTCGTGAACATACTAAATAAAGTACAACTACATAGAAGAAAGTACACGTTTCAAAAAGTTGGTAGAGGTAAAGAATCATGTCTTTGTTTTAGTTATGCTTTCTAATTCAATCTTCATCAATGAAAAACATTTAATATGAGATTTCTTGATCGATTAGTGGTAGGCTAATTCAAAATATTATTTAAACTTATTTTTTTCCACGATTGAATTAATGATCAGTTTGTTTTTTATCGCATCATAGTTAAAAAAAAGTTGTGAAAATACTTTTTTTTGTCAATTTAGCCTATTTTGACATAAAGTATTTATTTTTCACAACAATTTATGTGAATAGCCTGCACATAAAACGTGCAGAAAACGAATAATGTCTGTTCTACGTAGACAATAATTATCTTTGTACAAACATCATGGTTTTTGAATTATTTTTGTGTGTTTGTCGTCATTATTAACGACGAGTGAATTCATGTCCATCGTAATCACTTCGAACGAATCGTATTGTAGTCGACTCGACGGCAATAACATGAACTTTTGGAAAGACAAGATTCATGTTGCAGCATTCGTTCGAAGATAAATATTTTCGATATGATGTCAGAAATAAAATAAAAGCAACAAGAATGCGACGCACATGTTTATATGACTACCGAGACGAAAGGTAAATATGTTCTCTTTTGTGCATAGTGGGTTTTTTCTTTTTCTGTGCTTTGTGCATTTCTTGACGTTATTTGCTTGACGTTGTGTAGTAGTCATGTAAAACATAAAAAAAAATTAATATGAGTCCGAAATCATATTTGCTAATAAACATTGACGACCAGGTAAAAAAAAATTAACTGCTTTCTATCGCTACAATACAAAACAGAAAAGAAAAACAAGAATATTTCTTTCTAATGACTCAGTACAATAATATTTTACCAAACAATCAAGCTTGCAAGTTTGAGTTTGATTATCAATGAAGAGTATTCTGTTTGAGTATATTGATTTTCTTTTCGCATATACAATGATATTTAAATTGACTGAAATGAATATTAATAATGTGTCAATAAGCTTAAAATTGAGTAATTTTTGTTTAAACTTGACTTTTTTTCCAACTTACAAAATCAAAAACAAAAATAATAAACTGAATTTCTCAAGGACATTATTACGTATTGGTATCTATAAAAATTGACGTAGAAATATTTCTTTATTCATGGCAGTGGGTATTGGTCAAGAACAAATCAAAACTATTGATTCTAAAATTTCAAAGTCAATTAGTTGACATTAAAATGTGAAATCATCTAATCTCTATGTCTGAATAATGTCCTATTTTGTATTCAAGAGATAAATATGGGAAAGAAAAGAAGAGTTTATAAAAAAAATAAGACAATAGTTTATAGCAAAGAATAATGCAACAAAAATGCACATAGATAAGATAATAGTTCTCTAAAAGCTTTTATATTTCGAATCTTTGCCATTTTGAAACTTCGTGCAACATCTTCAATTATCTCTTTTACCAATGTATTTATTTGTGTTGAAATTATCGGTGCATCTACGAATATGCATTGTTTTAGAATATGTACATAGTCGACTGACTTGAATGGAAAGTGACTGTTGATAATTTATGAAGATAGAGAGTACATGATGATGCGAGATTGACGATTTTTATGTCAAAACTTGATTCGCAAAATTTAGATGGATCTGCACGTCAATATCAAATGAAAGACGAAGATATTTTAGAACTAACTTGTTCGCTGTATCTAATGAATTTCGCAACTGTGGAATGAACATTTTGACTTTTAAAAGATTTTAAAGTCAATTCTAGCATATCTAGCTAATTTTTGTTTTTATCGACGTACATCAGCTTGAGATAGTTCGATTACAACATTTTGTTTTACCGATTTTTCTCTCTTTAGTATCTCAAAGGGAATTTTGTGTGTGGCAAAACGGAAGAGTAGCACACGTCTGCATCAACTCAGAGTATCAGAATGAGGAAAAATCGCAATTCCTAAGCGAAACTTCTCCCTATTAATGAACAGCTATGTCTATTAATTCGATCTCAGATGGTTTTATGTATATCAAGGGTGTGGATGTTGATGTTAGTGACTTCTTCATCCGTACCCTGTCGTATAAATGGACCAAAACTTCAACTGGCAGTTAAATCCAGAAGATGAACGATATCTTCGCAGGTTTTATTCTTGATCAAAACATCAATGGGATAACTCTGTTCAGTACACCAAAGCCATAAATGATCAGTTAGATCCTGCTGAATGAATTTATTTTACTATAACTAAAGAAATCGAAGGTCGTCCAATGACGCTCGTATGATATTAATTGGATTCGCTTTCAATTATGTCATTGTTAAAGGTCAATACCGACTTCCGTTCTCTAACTTTCTCTGACTCTCTTCTAATACTAAATATTGATTGTTGTTAATAGTGATATCATTTTTAATAAAGTTAGACTAACAACAGAAGTTGATGAAAAATGAACAAAAAAATGGAGAAATAAAGAAAAAGTCATTTTCTTAGGCAGAAGCGTTTGCTGTTGTTTCAAGCATGTGTATTTCTTCGATCTTGTGTTGAAAATAACTGAGATAAATCTTATTTAAAGCTTCTAATTCGATTGATTCCAACATGTCTTGTATTTCATGCTTCTTTAACCCTTTCAATCCTGAGATTTTCTTACGTTCTGCATGAACACGAAAGAGAGAGTTCAATCTCTCTCTGTCGTTTTCAGCTATCACAATCATATGTATTCGAAGTCCAGATTCATTATAGATAGCCACAAGAAGTGATTTTTATGTGCATATATCATATAGTGTTCATCGCCTAAGGAGACGAAGGCATACAAAATATTTCTTTTTCGTACTGTATTTCATCTACAAGATGACATACGGGATTGAAAGGGTTAATAAATTTAACAAGCTATATTTGAAAGATATTCTACTATCATTGAAGAAAGCAAGTATGTCACTTTGATATGTAAAGTTTTGAACTCTTTTCATCCATAAGAAAACTAATAATTAATTGATCGGAATTTGTCACATGATGGCTTTGTTTAACAATCATAAATAATATTGTTCATATGTTGCTTCATCGATAGGTTTTTCGAAATAATCCTTATATGCATCGTCTTGATATTTATCATTCATTGCATTTGCTTGAAAGACTTTGTAGATCGAAGAATCACCATAGTGACGTGGTTGATTTGTTAATGATTTCAAATAATGGGGAATTTCCTAAAATATTTAAAAAAGCCTCAAATAGTGGAAAAGATTGTTATTTTAGATTCAGTATGTACCTTGGACAAAGGAGTTAGAATGTAGATGTGATTGTGCGTAAAGATATCAATTACGCCCACCCGCACCCACAGATCCACACCCACACCCCACACCGACACCCTCCGGCGGTGTCCTTGCAGCGTTTGTTTTGATATAATAAATTGAAATAAGAAAAAAAATATATATGAACTGTTATGACCCGTGTTGAGAACACGAGGTCATATAATTCTTATTAAATATATTTGTTGTGTTTTCTTCTTTTTCTTTTTTTTTCTTTTCTTAACTCTGAAATGCGCCTTTCATAGATAGAAAAATGAAAAACAAACAAAGAGAAGAAAAGAAAACAAAGATATTTAATAGGAGCTGTATGATCTCGTGTTTTCAACATGGGTCATAACATGAACTAATTCAATTTGTTTCATTTATTGAAATTGCTTAGCTGTGAGGAATCATGGAATAGGTATTTATTGTATAGTTCTTCATTGGGTTATTTTGTTATTGTTATGTTGAGTTCAAATGTACACGTTCTATTTAGATGCGACATGTAATTCTCATTTCAACATTAGGACATTTATTCATGTGTTTCAAATGTTATCGTATTATTGGGTAAACGTCAGCAAGCAGCAAAAGAGAAAGATGATGAAATTCGATGAAAACACTCCAACGGCTTGGAATTATTTCTTTATCAGTTATTGATACTTTTATTTGAATGAAATTAAAAAAAATCATAACAATAATTTGAATTAAAAAGTATTGCTTAACGAATATCCCTTTCTATAAGCATTATATGTACTCGAAACAGTCTTTGTTTGCATTTGGTCCGAATTTTCTCTTTTCTTCTGGAATAGATTGAGGGTGGTGTGGATGTAGATGCAGATATTCGTCTTCTCTTCACAACCACACCTTTACTTCTTCGGCAACGTCAAATGTCGAAAAGCAGGAGTTGAAAATACTAGAATTAGACTTATTTTTCATTGCAACTACAATTCTGCTTATTCTTTACATATTTCAAGATATTTACGTAGATTGATCAAAACCATTCGTGCAATTACTTTCAAAGAAAATGATAAAAGAGTCTGATTGACTTTTTGACCAGTGGCAGTTGTATCAGTGTCACAATTTTCGCACCTTCGGCAACACTGTTAGTCAAATATGTGAAATAGCATGTTATCATTTGAATAGAAACTGATATGAGCCATTAACGACATATATGAATCATTAGCACTTATCAGATGAAAAATATAAGCACGAGCCATACTTCTAATTTACAAAATTTAAGTGCACCAGATCGACATCACTTTTTTTTATCTATAGTGCAACAGAAACTGTGTTTTCGTGTTTATTTATTTGCGTTCGTATCTTCACAGATAAAACAACATATTCATGTCGCGTGCGACTCACAAATAAAACTAAGCTTAGAATGTATATCATTGGATTTTTGTTACTCTTATTTTTACCGGACATCGCTTATCAGCAGGAATATCAAACAATTCCTCTTCGCTTTGATATAGCCATCAATCAACTTCTTCAACGTCATCATTACACATTTCACGAAATTGACTATGACGCATATAGTTTCACACCTGCTGAAATGCTGGGACTTAACTTACATTCCTCTGAAAGCAACGAAACAACCAAGTGTGAACAAGACTTTGTATTTTTGGTTAAAGCAGCTTTAAGACGTGATCTGTGGGCACTTAAAATCTTTGATTCATGGGGTAAACCATTACCATCTGGTTTACTCAAAGGAAACATTTTGTGGACGGGCAATTATGATGAATGCCTAGATCCATTATATCAAGTAGTGAATAAAACATTTGTACAACAACCATTCGATAGTCAATACTGTAAGTTAATGTAACTCGTTTTATGAATATGAAATTAGGAGAGAATTTTATCTTGTTAGGTGCTCTTTCTCTAAGTGGAACGACATCTGAAGGTAAGATGTCTTCTGGACTTACTCTTGGCATCTGTGTACCTTGGTCGTGTGATCGCCAATCAATTACTATACTAGCTCGAAGTCTATTCAAAAAAGATAATATTACTGAAAATAATCTTCTCTGTTCGAATGATGCTGCTAGCAAACAAAAGAGTCTATCTCGTGGTGTAGTGGTCACATGTGTTGTTCTCTCATTACTCGGTCTCCTCGTGCTAATTGGTACCATCGTTGATCTTCTTGCTTCTCGTCTTAAATCAGTCAATCATGTTGCTTCGCACATAAATGGATATGATCGCATATCGAGTATCAAATCGACTGAGAGTCAATCGATTACACCACCACAATATTCACATTTTTCCAATCAAACTCTACTAAGTGCAACACCTCGAACAGTATTCTTTGCTCAATTTTCGGCTATACGTACATTACGTCGTATTTTTACAATGACAAAAAAAGACGATGAAAATTCACTTGATTTTATCCATGGTCTTCGTGTACTTTCGCTTTTCTGGGTGATTTTCGGCCATTCAATTCTATTTAGCTTATTCTATACAAGCAACCCTGTCGATGTACTTGCTTGGTCTGATAATATGGCATTTCAATTGATTACTAGTGGTATATTGAGTGTTGATACTTTCTTTGTTCTCAGTGGCTTTTTGACAACAATTATCTTTGTTCGAGAAGTCACTAAAGCAAAACTTTCGTTTCGTCTTTTCATTCTTTATTACGTTCACCGATATATTCGTCTTACGCCGACGTTTCTTCTTGTTATTCTTATCAGTATCAATTTGACACCATTCTTTGGTCGTGGGCCTATCTATCCAGCCGAAACAGGATTTGAATCCGACGGTTGTAGACATCGTGGTTGGTGGACAGATATTCTCTATGTTGGGAATTTAGTTTATCCCAATGATATGTGTCTCGGTATTTCATGGTATCTTCATAATGATATGCAGTTTCATTGGATTGCACCACTTGCGCTGATTCCTTTCGTCATCGGTCGAAAGTCGATTGGATATTTTGTTGCCATTCTATATGTTCTTGTCGGCATGGGATCGATTTTAGGCATTCTTCTTTATTATCGCACTATGTCATTGAATCTGCTTGTAGATGCCACGAACTTGGTAAGTTATGGTTTATTGTATTTTTCTTGTTAATAACTAACGTCTTTTTTATAGAATGGTCCTAGCTTCTTCAACAAGATCTATATTACACCATGGTGCCGTATTTCAGCGTATGCTATTGGTCTTCTCACTGGTTTTATTGTTATCAACGTCGGTCGTTCATATCATTCTAATACCTATACTAAAATATTTGGAACTCTTCTATCGATTGTAGTTGGTCTGACCTGTGTCTTTGTGATGTATCTCGATTATGTTCTCATAGCAGGCCTCAATCGACCAGAACTCATTGCATATCAAGTATTGTCTCGTCCATGTTGGGCATTAGTGATTGGATGGATTCTATTTTTGTGTAGTACAAATCAAGGTGGAATAGTCAATACGATTCTTTCATGGCCAGTTTGGGCTCCTCTAGCTCGTCTTAACTATTCGGCTTATCTCATCCATTTGACTGTTATGCTTACAACTATATACAATCAAACAATTCCCATTTACAATCAACCATTCATGATTCTTAACACTTACGTTTCATATCTATTCTTTATCTATATTACAGCTATTGTTGTCGTGATTTTTTTTGAAAACCCATTCTTTGTTCTTGAAAAATACATATTCAAACGTTAGATTAACAATTGACAATAAACATTCTGATGGTCTTTCCTTTGGCTCTCTTGCTTTGTTGTTTCTTGTTCAAATAAAAAAGGATGTGGGTCTGAGGGAGTGCTAAATTCAAGAGGAGAAAAGCAGATTTTAGTGTCCAAAATCTTTCAAAATCCCTCTAAATCACTGTAAATCAGGTCGAAAGTGTTTAACTTGGTTCGAGACCTTTTAAGTGGTATATTTCCCTAAGTCAAAGGACGGACTTATGGATAAAATAAAATAAGTTAATGTGCGTGTATGTCTGCTTATTTTCAGTTACGTGTCCTCTTATTTCAGAAACATTAGACTAACAATGTAAGAGTGCTATGGGAATAATACAACGTCGAAAAGAGTGTGGGTGTAGGTGTGAGTATGGGTTTGAGTGTTTTCTTCCTCACATCCACGTCCATACCCATACTCACACTCCACACCCACATTCACCCACACCCGCAATAGAATTGTTTTTGATAGACCTGATAATATAGCAATGCTATTAACAGCTCTTAAGGCAAATGTAAACGGCAGATCATTTTCAATAATATGGACAAATGAACTTAACGACGACAGTGCGCGACTAATTATTGTAGTGCAGCATATTCGAGCAGCAAATAGAGTAAATACTGATGATACTTCAAATAATTTCGTGAGAAAAAATTAAATAATAATTCTAAAGAATCAGCATCAGCATCACTACGAGCAGATAGTCGCCAAGCAGTCAGTCATTCCCGAAAATATGTCCAATAGCTTCGTCTGAACTGACACTACTTTCTTCTAATAAACGAGAACTTAAATCATTATTCTATGAAACAGCAAATTCCAAATGAATAGTAATAAGATGTTGAAGTGTATTTTTCTTGTGAAATACATTCATGCATAAGTATCTAATAGAAATATGTACCGAGCAATCCATCCATCCAAACAAGTAAAGAGAAAATGAAGAAAATCTGTTGCACATAAAATAGCATGTATATTTACACTTGAACAAGAACTGTTTCTGGGTAGCCATTGCATATAACCATTCCCAACACAATTAGAGTAGTTCCAACAATACTAGTTAAGAATGAAGAAACAGTCTACTGCGTCTTGTCGGCTATTATGTTCAGCATAGCTATTTAAAATTCTCTTGTATAAAAATTTGCGGCAAAGAAAAAGTAATGTTACACTTAACATGGATACTTCAATAATGGCAACCAACATTTTTAACATGCAAAACGTTAAAATAAAATTTGCTTGATGAATTGTGGAAACGACAAAAACTGTATCATATTTTAAGAAAGCTCGAATAAAATTAGAAAAAATGATAGCATTTAAAATAGTACAGGGTGTAGTTAAAATACTTTTTACATCACAATTTCGGGTAGTAATTGAGATCATATTAGTTTTTAAAGTATCATTAATACTATCATGAAAAAATAACAAAATTTCAACATGAAGAAACTGATTTTTATTTATTGATTTATTTTTTTCTTCATGGGTATGAACATCTACACTCACACTCTTACCTGTACGAATTAAACTTGAGAAAGCAGCATCCAAAAAGTGGATATATCATGTCTTTCACAGCTGGTGATAGTTCACACATAGCCTATTTCAAGAATGATGCATCGATCGGCATCGAAAGTTAAAGTAAATAATTTACTTTTCTTTTTGTCACTGCATGTGCTGCTTGGAATGATGATTTAGAATTAATTATCACAGAGCATCGAGCTTCAATAGAGATTCACAAACATACAATAACACTTCTCTTTGGTAGACCACAACTTATTCTCCTTCGCTCAAGAAAAATATAGATAAGATCATGTTTAAATCATCGGACGATACTACTCACCCTGGTAGCGATGGATCGACATGAGCTCATGTTATTCTAACTCAGCTACGAATAGATTCAATTGGCTATAAAAAGCAGTTAATTCTATACGAAAACATTCTCCACATAGACATTTTGTTCCTTTTTTTATTTGTATTGCTGATTTCCTGAAGGATGATCGTTATTGATAATCAGAAATAAAATTCTTTCCGTTTCTTAATTCGTTTTTAGTGCATATGTATAAGAACTCAAGTGAAACATTTTAATACATAAAATTCAACTCGAGATTTATTTAAAATATTTTATTCTTCTTTGTACAATGACGTTATCAATATCGAATACATATACAATTGGAGGACTTAGCATACTAAAGAAGAGCATTTTCTAAGATTTATAAAAAAAATAAAAATAAAAATATTTTGACACTGAATTTGCAAAGAAATGTATAGGTTTTTATTGAACTTTTATATTTTTATTATATATTTTAATAAATCTAATAATAATAATAGTAATAATTAACAAATGTGTGAAATAAAATATCACTACAATGAGAAACTTTAACACAATAAATTCTTGTTAGAAATCATTTTCGTCGTGTTTTTCTATGTTTCAGGCAAATGTGTTTAAAAAAAAACAAAATGAAAGTGTGGGTGTGAATATGAGGGTTCTCTACAGGTCCATCTACATCTACTCCCTTGCCAGGATCAAACACTGAAAGCTATTTGGGAACTTGATAGGTTGTGCAATATCTACATTATTCGTTTATTGATAAAGCTGAACATCTTGTAAATAGGAAAAAAATTCAAAAAATTAGATCTCTTAGAAATAAAGTTCATTACTATCGATTTCAACATAATATAAGATCATGAATCACATATGAGAATTTATCGATTTTTTTAGTACTTCTTTGACAGTTATGTTTCTAAAATGTGTAAATACTGGTCAGAAAATAGTAGAATGTTGTAGTTATATCTTGTGTAACTCTTTAGTATTCAAACAATTTAATAATTTATAGAATAATTTTGTGACATAGATTGAATAATCGAGAATTATGTTAGCACTATAACCATATTGTTCGAACCAATGAATAAAGTTAAGATTTCTTTTTTTAATTTAGATTAATTTTCTTGGTAAGTTAATCAAGCGTATTATTAGACAACGAGTTCTCGCTAGGCATCACGTAATGCTTGTTCCTTCGATTAACTCTATGATTGAATATAATTCTTACTAATTTTTATTCTTTTTCGTCAAAGTTAGTTTACAAAGACTTAAAAGAATTATCTAAATTCGATAATTATCCAGAACAAAGGTGTCTGAAAAAATTATTCTCAGCATGCTCATTCTTAATGTTTTTCTTTTAGAACTTTTGTAGCAAAAGTAAAATGAATTCCACTTATAGTATAATATGCTAGAGTGCAAAATTATGAGGATAATTTATTGATTTTAAAAGGTCTACCACTGTTGACCTTTTCAAATTATATTTAATGCCAGACGATTAGATCTTCGAACATAATATAATGAGAGTGAAGATATTGTTTTTGAATTTAAGAACACGAATGTTGTTTTATTCACCAACATAACGAAGAAGAAATATTGCATAGTTCTACAATTTTTTGCTTTCTGTTATAATCATAAAAGTCAAAGAAAAGTATTAGTTCATTACAGAATAAGTAGAACAAAATATAATAACAGTAACAGATAGATTGATAGAAAAAATTCAAAGACGAAATTTTAATGAAACAAAAGAAAAAAATCTCAAAAACGAAGTAATAAACAACAAAAACAAAAGTTTCAAGTGAAAAATGTTTGTTTAGACAGTCCAAAACATTTTATGCATATCATTTGACGATTTAGTTCTATCCAGTAGGTTGTTTTGACTAAAATAAGAAGAGGAAATATGAAAAAAAAAGAATATACGTGAAGTTACTTGACGCTATGGGTAAAGTCACATTCTGTTCACTATATAAAACTCTTTCGTAATTTTAAACCTAACCACTCCTTTTTTCAAGAAAACCTTTCTCATTTTCAAATTAAAAATACTTTAACAATCATTCTTCATCGTTTTAACAGACTACAATTGTTGAAAATAATCTATGAAATATTGAAGATTATTAAATCGATTATATAGTCAATAGACGAAAGACGAATTCAGTTCATTGAAAAACAAAAATCAATATAATGCTTCACCATATGTGGAGGATGTAAATATAATAATAGGAGTGTTTCGAATAGTATGCTTGAAGAAACAATTGTAGTAACTAAGGGTTGTGAGAAAAAAAAGAATAGAAAAAAAACTATCTTAATAACAACGAAATATGACTTGGATCAAAATTAAGAATATGTATTATTTCTATTAATATTTTCTGTACTTTACTATCATTTTGGTTCAAATCTCATTAAAAAAAATACATATTTGGTTATACTAGTTGATCCTAAAATTTCAGTCAAATATAATCGCAGAGAAGAATCTTTTATAACAACAAATAAAAAACTAAAATAAAACATCAAGAAAACAAATCTAATAAGGTATGTTAAAAAACAAAAATTTGGCAAGAAAGTCGTCCATTTAACGAAAGAGGCAAAGATCGTCACTTGAATACGAAGAGTCAAAGCCGTTTATTTGTAAAATCTTTAACAAAAATTTTAGTTAAAGTGAACTTTTTGTTTTATAAAACTATGACATGATTGATCTGTTTATACAAAGTTTCAGTTTGTACTTTCTTTGTCTTGTACCATCTTTCTTTTCAAGAGAATTCTTACTGTAGCAAATTATTTAACACAAGTTAATCTACGTAATTTTGCGTAGAAAGAAAGTTTTAAACTAATCATCTTAACTCAATCACTTTTATACATGGTTCATATTTATAAATATTTTTTTTTATATTACAAATAATGAGCATTTCATATTAAACTCACTTTATTTTTAATATTAAATTGAACATTAACGTCAGTACGATAATCATGAGCTGAAAAATCTTCATCATCTGAAATTGTAACATTTCGTTCGAACCAAAATGATGTTGCTTGACATATTTGTTGGAAATCATCTATTGCTTGATCAAAATTATCATCAAAAATTGGTCCAGTACATATTAATTGAAAATTTATCAATTTCATACAGTATATGGATAATAAAGATTCCCATTTCTTAGCATCAAGTAAATGATACCAACCCCACATGAATAATTTTTTTAAATTAGATGTTTGCTTTAATAAATATTCGACATGTTCAAATGTTATATCATCTGATAATTTTACATGCAGTTGATTACATTTAGGTAGCAACGACATAGCAATTATAAATGATTGATATTGTTCGTTAGATATATTATCATCAAGTAACAAATAATCCGTGCAAAATGATTTAACATTTTGTAGAGCAGGGAGTAGTTTAATTAAATCATTAAAAGTCAACTGGTCGATTGACACATGTTGAATATTTGTTGTTTTAGTTGTTGTAATTAGCGACGTAATTGTGGATGTACCTTGTTGCGTACCACAAGTACTAATGATGAAAGATTTCAATGATGGACAATAATCTTTATTAAATATCGAATGAATGATATACTTCTTTTCTTCAACACAATTACCAACTTCTGAAAAGCCACAAAAGATTATTTCCAACGATTGTAGATATTTCAAAGATGAAAGTTGATTCCAGAATGTAAACAAATTATCATTAAAAGAATACATAAAATTTAAAGATAATAAACGGAGATAAATCAATGAATCAAGAGAAAAATTCGAGAAAAAATGTTGTATTTCATTAGAATTCGTAAACTTTAATGATCGAACATTAACAGCCTTCATCGGTGATAAAATATTTTTCATAAAGTAACCATAAGTACCTCGCTTTGTAAAATTTAAATGTAACACTGTTCGATCAATAATTGCATCAATTCTTCTATTTAAATCGCGAAATGAATACCATAAATCAATTGAATTGAAATATTCAAAGATTTCTCGCCAAAGTTCTACGGATAACAACTCAATTGTATTATGAAATTTATCATCTGACATAATCGATCTAAAACAAAGATTAAAAAAGAAGATATGAACAATAACATATATATATACATATACACATTTATCACACTTTTTTTTTTTGAGAAAATCTCTAGACTAGAACAAATACATAGTTCTAATGTCAAAGTCATTTGAAACTTTAAAAAAAATTATCCGATTACTACAAATATATGTTATCAAAATACGGACAAGTATCTGTTTATTATTCTAGACATAACATACTCAAGCACATAGTTATCTGACTATTAGAATATCACTGATCATGTGCGAAGAAAGGCGTGCACACGTGTATATATGTACAGGGAGAGAGGGAGTGAGAGAAGAGAAAGAAAGAAATAGATGGAACAATGATGGTATGTCGAACAGAAGTAGATGATTAATCAGTACATAGAACAACTAGTAAGAAGCGATAACAGACCCTTTTCTTACAATTAATATTGGTGATTTTCGATATATGTGAATTAATCGTGAAATGTTAATAGTAATTTAACGATTTGAGGTCACCATCCTATACCGATTACTTTTCTAACTAACTGGTGCACGGGGATACAACTAAGTGAGGATTTGTAGATGAAGAGAAAATCCACACTGTTTTTTTTCTATCGCATTTTAAATAAAAATCCGGAAGGTTGCTCGAATGCATTCTTAGAGTGATCTACCACTATCTATGGGAAGAATGATGAAATTGTAACGCTTTCATTTATCGAGAATTAGCATCGTGTTCGAATCTTCCCTCTCACAGCACTACATTCGTATAATTCTGTTCTATTCTACATGTGTCATACGATTCGTTCGTCTAGGGTCTATGCATGTTGGGTATGGGTATGTGTAAGTGACTTCTTTTTACACTCCACACCTATATCCACACCCTAACTGTGACGATAAAAGAGCGAGATAAAATCTTATTTCAAATTGTACATTCAAGTCGATTTTTTTGAATATATGAGCTATTTATTCATCTGAACTGAAAATCTCAAAGTTTGTAAGTATAATTTTCTATTACAAAGTAATACTGAAATTATTTGTCCTTATATGATATAGACACAATAAGAGAGTTTTAGTTCAACAGAACTATAGAAAAAGATTACTTGATTCGAACAAGCTTATTTACTTTTGAAAAAACATGGGGGAAAATAAAAGACAAAATGAGTAATACTTTATTCTCTGTATATAAATTCTATACTATGTCAGTTACTACTCATTTTCACATACCTGCAAGAAGTAATAATATAAAAAAGTAGAAAATTATCAGTTATTGTCATATGGTTTTATTTATTGTAATATCGTAGATTTATATACGTAATAAAAGTATCAGATACAATGACAAACACTTTAGTTATTGATCATAATCAATACTTATTCACATGAGCTCATTCTATCACTTAATGTTTTCTATCTTTCTACAGGCTATGCTACATTTCATTCTTCTTCTGATTATTTTCCTTCTCTACTGCCATAAACATAAAAGTTTTGTCATACATCTTACCATCCTCATAACTCACTTAATTTCCTCTTTTATGGGTGTTCATGATAGGGTGTAGGTGTAAGATGTGGAAGTGGGTAGGGATGCAACGATGACGATCATTCATCGGTCCAACTACGCTAACCATACCTACGGTTATCGGCCAAAGCCGGTTTTCATGAAGGAAAAGTTTTTCTAAGAAAATAACGATGTTTTGTAAAGGTTGACGAAAGTAAATCGAGCCCGAGAAATCGCAATCTGAAATCAGTTTTTCGAAATTTTTGAATATTGATTTTCCACAAAGAAATCTATTCTCGAAAGTCATGTTTTTTCTAGAAGACTTTTCTCCATGAAAAAATCACTTTTTTCCTTAAAGAAAACCTTTTATGTGGAAAGATGGAACTCAATATTTTCAAAAACTGATTTCAGATTCTGATTTCCCGACTTTGATTTACTTCCGTCAGCCTTTACAACAAAATCTTTATTTTCTTAAAAAAACCTTTACTTTGTGAAAACCGGCTTGAACCAATAACCGTAGGCACAGCTATCATAGTTGGATCGGCAACAGTAGGTTCGGTTATCGTAATTGGGCCGGTAATCGTACCTATGGTTATCGTCACCGTTGCATCCTTACACCCACACTCACTCACGCCCTAGGCATCTTTACGATAAAAGATTTGAATATCTCCACCCTTCTTTAACCTATCAGGCTGATTTTTTTATCAGTGATAGAGAAGCATTCAAAGTTTCTTTGCATTATAAAAACGTTAGTAAAATACCTGTTTGAACTATCACCTTTTACCTGAATAGAGAAATTTAGCCTTCAACGTAATGATGTGGACGATATTCTGAAAAGATTTCCCATTCGATTTTGACTTCCAATGTAACTAATTAATAGAGAAAGTTTTTGGTAATCTCAACTTTAGTAGAAACTTAAAATATCGAAAGTAAAAATATCGAAAACAAAAACTCGGATGATGGTGAGAATGTAAGATTGAGGGCGACTTTTATTGCCATAGACCGTCATTTTCAGCATCTCCACTTTTCGACATTCGTATCGGTTTTTGTTTTCGATATTTTCACTTTCGATCAGAGTAGGGAGATACCGAATAAACACGTTATATGATCGATATAATATTTATCTTATTACATTATCTGGACTCCTCAATAGTTGGTCTTTATTTGTAGCAAAAAAAGAGTTCTGACTGTTCAATACAATAATTTTTTAATGTCGATTAACTGTTATATTAAAACCTTTTCCTGTATTTCTTTTTTTTTTTGAAATAATAAACATTGGTTGAAATTTAACTGCTTACTTTTCTAGTGTTCTCAACTAGAAAATATTCAGAGGTCTCCAACTGAGTTTTCGACATTTTGACTTTCGGTCAAAGTAGGGAGAATCAAATTTTTCTCTTTCAATTTGTGTAACGTAGAGTTCACTAGCTTGTTCCATTCAGGAGCTATAAGCATTTTTTCCCAGAGCTCCTAAACCGACTAAATGACTCTCAAAACGCATTAAGAGAGAGGTAACTGGCCACGCTGAGTCGAGTAGTGATGTTAATTTTTCGTTTTGAACCGATCTGAAGTCACTTAATCAAGATTATTGAAATTCCAATATTCCACCGCTATGTTGTGCAGAGCTGTTATTTCGAAAATCTCGATTAAATGAAATTGATGATGGTCGAAGTAATATATTCTGCATAGCGTGTGCGTCATTTGTTACTTTGTATAGAAAGAATTTAAATCCTTTTTTCTGATTCATAACTACTAGGGTTCTACAGTTTCATCAATATAGAATTCAAAAAATACTAGCTTCTATTCCTGTTTTATTATTTAAAAAATTAAAAACCATTACAAATATTCTAAATTAAAATAAAGAAAATAAAAATCATATGAATATAACTTGAAATTTCATTGTTTGTCGCACATCACGCAGTTTCTCCTGAATTGCTGCTATTTTCTCCATGAATTCTTCATGTTGTACCATCTTTTCCTTTACCTGTAATACTACTTTCTTCAATTGACGACATATATGCATCAATCGTTGCCATTCATACAAATTTAGCAATTCTTCTACATTGGTTTCATTCATAACTAGTTGAATACGTCGAAGATTGCACATATTTTTGATCAGATCAACTATTGTTCTCCAAAAACATGATTTTTAATAGTGGCGGCATTTGTCCGTCTCAGGCATTTTATAGTGACCAATGTCAAGCAAAAAATGTTTAATTGTAATATTTTGTGTGTATTTGTAGGCTGTTTGATCGTCACAACTATGAGTGCAACCTGATCTTACACAATGTATTTCAAATTTGTTTATTGAACTTGGAAGGTGTGAGAAGATGCTACTGAACATATACAAATCTATGGCAACGTCATACCGGAGAGAAAATCGAATCAAATTAGGGAAAATATTTTCGTATTGGTTGATTTCCTTCATCTTCTGGAAGTTATCAAGTGTAAGTGAAATGACATTAGTGAGATTGGCAAAAGTAGTCAATATCCTGGTTGTTGAGAATTGAACTGCATCGAGATGTAAGGAAACAATTTGTTCCGGTTTGATTTGTCGAAGAATCATTTGAAGAAAACAAGAAGAAGGATAAGATAACTGTACTTTTGTTTTACATTGAGATAATACAGGAAGAATATTATTGGAAAATGCATTGAGTGCGTCATTGAGTGTAAGATATTTGCCGATTTCAAGAATAATATCCCAACAAAGACCAGTCTGAGTTTGGAAGTCAAACCCAGGTCGAAATAGCTATGTCGGATCCTGTCGGATGGGTTTCAAATCCGTTGAGATGCGGCTAATCGGATTCGGTCGGTTACTTTTTATCGGATTCCGATGCTATCCACTGTTTTCCTTTGATATTCGCCGGTCGGATTCATCGAGCTCCGACTAGATTCATATATCCGGAACTGGTCAGATCCGACCTCAAGATCTGTTCGCTTCCGATGGGATTCCAGGGAATCTGATGTCAAGAAATCGCCGGATTTTGCGGTTTCAAGTGACACCGGATTCCATGATAAAACCGATCAATCACTGGTATCGGAACTTGTCGGATTATATAAGAATGCAGAATACCCAGGCCGATCTCACACCATCGAATCCGATGGAAATTAGTCGGAAGTTGTCGGATGTTGGAAAGTGTCGGGTTTTCAGAGTTCTGACAAGATCCCGGCCACTTCCGACACTTTCCGACATCCGACAACTTCCTGTCGGAATCCGATACCAAGGATTCCGACGAATTGCCATCGGATTCGATAAAATTCGATAATTTTTCCGATAGGATCCGACGAGATCCGACTGTCGGATTGCTTGTTCTGGGTATCCAGTATTATTTTCCACGTAGTCGGATTCATGAATTAGAATATATTCTGACAGATCAATCAGCTAATCATCTAATAAGATATTTCTCTTTTTACAAATTTCCAACAACAAAATCAGAAATCTGGAAATCCGATTTCGTTCAGATTTCATTCACCGTTTTGTTTTACAGATATCGATCTATATAAGGAAGTCTCTACTTTAATATTTTGAATGAATTTCCAAACTGTAACTTAGATTAATTTTACTTCAAATGATTTGTTTTCTTTATACAATTATGTTTTCCACGCAATTGGATTCATGAATTAGAATATATTCTGACAGATCAATCAACTAATTTATTTATTTATTAAATATTCCTATTTTTAAAAAATTCCAACAACAAAATCAAAAATCTGGAAATCCGATCTTGTCCAGATTTCATTCACCGTTTTGTTTTACAGGTATCGATCTATATAAGGAACTCTCTACTTTCATATATCAAGTGAATTCTGCCATTTTGTATAACTAAGCGCTATATATTAGGAACAATCTTACGAGGGAACCGTTCCAACTGATAAATCGCTTTTTTAATGAAAGCTGGTGGGTTATAGGTTATCGACTATGCTGATTTCGAATATGAGTATGAGGAGTGCCCTTAGGCCTTTATAGGATGGTTTTCTAGAAAACCAGATCTCTAGAAAACCAACTTTAAACTAAATTTTTGTTTTTGACCTGCTCAGGTTATAAAGCACATCAAGTTGTCTATTAATCGATATTTTCTTTTGTTTCAAATAGATTTTACGATGACATACAGTCAATGGAATTCACATAGTAGATGCATATTACTAGCATTTCACTGTACAAATAGGAAAGTTTAATGTTGTTTATTCAAGACAATCCATGCAAAGCAGGAAAAACTATTGATTTATAGGCAACTCAATGTGCTCTATAATCTGAGCAGATCAAAAACAAAAATTTCATTTAAATTAGTTTTCTGAAGACCTGGTTTTCCAGAAACCCACCCTATGAAGGCCTAAGGGCACTCCTCATACTCATATTCGGAATCAGCATAGTCGATAACCTATAACCCACCAGCTTTCATTAAAAAAGCGATTTATCAGTTGGAACGGTTCCCTCGTTAGTACAAGCATTGTTCAATTTTAAGAAGGATCGTAGTATATACATTGTTAGATTCTAGGAATAATCCCAGTTGAAACAGTTGAAATCCTTTAGACTCTTGATGACATCCTGATGCAATCATTAGAAATTTTGATAACATCCTGGTGAAATCTGTTCAAAATGTCGATTCAATCTTTGGAAAATCTTTGGAATTTTTGATGAAATCCTTGAGAAATCTTCGTGAAATCTTCAGAAATCTCGACGAAATCCTTGAGAAATTTTTATAAATCTTGATAAAATCCTTAGGAAATCTTCAGAAATCTGGATGAAATTCTGGACAAGCATTTAGAAATCTTGATGAAATCCTTGGGAAATCTTCATAAATATTGATGAAATCTTTGCGAAATCTTCAGAAATCTCGATGAAATCTTTGTGAAATCTTCAGAAATCTCGACGAAATCCTTGAGAAATCTTTATAAATCTTGATGAAATCCTTGGGAAATCGAAACAGATTCAGCCAACTTCTGATGAAATCCGACTGTATTCTGTCGGAGCCTTACGTTATCAGGCGTTTCTCTGTGAAAGGATCCTGGTGGTTACGGCATTATCCGACAAACAGTTCCGTCAGGATCCGATCGTATCCTTTCCGACGTAATCCGGTCCGGAATCCGTTAGTTAGGAATCCTGTGAAATACGGTTGGGTTCCGATCGGATTTAGTTGGGAACCCGACGAATTCCGGTGTGATCCGACATCGGATCCGATAGTTTCCGGTAGGATCTACAGGTCGGATTGAATCACCTGGGAATGACTAAAACGAAATTAATAACAGTGTTTTTTCATAGTGATTTAAGTCTATAATTTCAACTTACTAAAGCTTGTTCATTTTCATCATACTTTTCTTTGAAATCAATCAATTCATGTAATAATATTTCACGAGCTGGTTTGTCATCAGCACCTATTATTACATCATCTTTGATTAATGATGTGAATTCATATTCAGATGTTTTTGACCAGTGTTTGTTTCTTGAAGATCGTCGCATAATACCAATAAACATTGGATATTGTTGAACCGGAAAAACATTCAATACTTGAGTAGAAAACATTTCTTCCCAGACTTGTATCAACCTATTTAAAGAGTACAATATCTATCGTACACTTGTAAATTGTTTACCTATTTCTGTTTGATTCAACTGTTATATCCCATGGCCAGACAATATAATTTTCAAGTAAATATTCAATAATAATCTCTGAACAGAATATTTTCGAACAAACCATATCACTAAACATGTTTTTGTCATTATGTATGTAGACGAGCACTGGGCGACGCTAAAAAAACAAGAAAATGTCTTCTATGTTTTGTAGAGATAAACAAACTTTTTTAATCTCTGATAAATTGAAAGCTGCTTGACAAGCATCTTGAAGAGAACCCATGAAAAATACTGGACAGCTGTTGTAACGTCTCATAAAACATGCGTGAAAAGATTCGATAGCTATAATTTCATTTTGACATTGAGTCGGAACTTTGAAAATAATAGAATCTTGAATAAATCTTTTTCTTTTTGATAAATAAAAATCAATTTACTAGGACTACGATCGAAGAATTTATGATCATAATCAAAAGTATCATCGTCACTTATTTGTGTGTCATCGTCACTTATTTGTGTATCATCATCCTGCAGAGTTAAATAAAAATAGTTTTTAAGAAATTGAATCAATTGGAAATATATATCTTTTTTTATGGATGAAGCATAAGAATTTGCTTATTTTGTATTCATACAGAAGTATACTTACCATTGTGATCGTTAGTTTAATTATTATCGGTAATAGAACTTCTAAAAAAAACTAAAAAAACGTACGTCTTTTACTATTTTGAGAAAAACGACAATCTCTCGCGGACAAAAAAAAACGGCCTTTTTTCATTTCACTTTTGCATCGCTTTAAACTTTGTTTTAAAAAAACAAAATATACCACAAGATGCAGCGTGAAAAGAACTACAACCTACAAAGTAAAGCTTATTTTATTTGTGTGCTTTTTGCTTTCGAAAAAAAGCAAAATCCTGTGCGCCCAATTTTCGACCCTGCGAAAATATCATTTTTTTTATGCCAAGGAGAAATTCCTTTTTCTTTGTTTCATCTTTTTATCACCTAATGTGCTTTTCTGAAAAAAAAACAAAATATACCAGAAGATGCAGCGTGAAAAGCTCTATAATTTACATAGAACAATTTATTCAAATACGAAGAAAAGAATTTCTCGTTCGTGTAGAAAAATGATTTTTTTCGCAGCGTCAGACATTGGTCTCACAGAATTTTGCTGTTTTTGAAAATGAAAAGTACATAATTTAAATAAGTTTTACTTTGTAGATTGTAGAATTTTTCACGCTGCATCTTCTGATATATTTTGTTTTTTTTTCACACAAACATACTAGTTGATAAAAAGATGAAATAAGAAAAAAGGAATTTCTCGTTACATAGAAAAAAAGATTTTTTCGCAGCGTCGAAAATTGATAGCACAGGATTTTGCTTTTTTTGAAAGCAAAAAGTGCACAATTAAATTAAGCTTCACTTTGTAGATTGTACAGTTTTTCACGCTGTATCTTCTGGTATATTTTGTCTTTTTTTCAGGAAAGCACATTAGGTGATAAAAAGATGAGATAAGATGAGGTAAGATAAGATAAGAAAAAATGATATTTTCGCAGGGTCGAAAATTGGGCGCACAGGATTTTGCTTTTTTTCGAAAGCAAAAAGCACATAAATAAAATAAGCTTTACTTTGTAGGTTGTAGTTCTTTTCACGCTGCATCTTGTGGTATATTTTGTTTTTTTAAAACAAAGTTTAAAGCGATGCAAAAGTGAAATGAAAAAAGGCCGTTTTTTTTGTCCGCGAGAGAATGACTGCATGAAATGGATTTTTATTGATCTGGAAAAAACCAACGTTACTCTTATATGTAAAGATCATATGTGAGTCATAGAAGTGGCAGGAGGGAAAGGGAGGAAAGGAAAAACATATATGTGAGAGAATGGAGAAAAAAGATGCCTTTCGCAGAAATCGAACCCACACCTTTTGCTATCCGGGTAGATGTCCGAAGCCAATTGAACTAGAAGGTGTTGGTGTGGGTGTAGGTGTATGTTGATGAATGGAAGACCCACATCCACAATCAATGATGACAGATTGAGACATCTGTTAACAATTTTAATTTAAATATTCATTCAGAATATTTCATTCTATATCCTTCATAATTCTTTCAATTCTGGTATTTATCACAGTATTGCTGGAAATAATAATAAAAAAGGTATTCCTCATAGAGGGTGCTACAATGTATTGCATTCACCTATGTAGAATTTCATTGTTGCTTTCATTTTAATTGGATGATGTCTCACCAGATAATAAAAGTGGAACACTGAGAAAAACCCAGTGTTGCAACTTTAAGAGTAGCATGCAACTATACATTTTTTCGATTTTATAATCATTTCTTTTTCGTTTTTTAGTGTGTTTATGGCAGTATCACAACAGCCAAAAGGTCGAGGACGTCCTCGGCAATACGTTCCAGCCGCTCATTCTTCATTAACGAAGAGTTCACCATCAACAATACCGAAAACAACGCATGTCACTATCACTTCAACTACGAACAATGCTTAAAGACTTATCACATTCCCATCGACTCCTAACAGTGGTCGTAGTCATGGTGCTCATCTAAAGCAAATAAATCAAGTACCTGATCTTCACTGGAAGATATCAGACTTAACCATGGCTCAATTGAAGTCAAATATTCGGTCATCAAAGCCAGAGGAGCAGAAAAGCATTGGTCAGAAAATACAAGTTCGAGCTAACTATTTTCCTATTCTTGAGTTTCCAGGTTATGGTCTTGTTTATCAATATGATATTCAAATAAAAAATAAAAGTGGTTCCAAACTTACTCGTGAACTTCGACGGTAAACATTTAGGGTGTGGGTGTGGGTAAGGAGCAGATCACAACAACACCCACACACCCATATTCATATCCAGACCCAACACCACCGACATCTATTCTTAGTAGACTACGTGTATAAGAGTTTCAAAATCTTCAGTGCATACAATGGCCGAAATCGACCAGACAAATGCCATGATAAATACTTCTGTTATGTAATTACGTAATATGCTTAAAAACATGCATAGAATGCAACAAAATCATGATTCAGAATTGAAAGATTGCGCAATTACATGCATCTTTAAATATGGAAAGAAGAATGAATATATTTTGGTTAAATATATTGTTACTACATAGAAAAAACACGTGGAAGATGTTGTCAAATTTTGAGACTTTACCCGATGAAATTATAATGATTATTTTGAAATATTGTGGTGATGTTCATACAATATTAAAAACGTTTCTTGGTTTTAATCAACGTTTAAATATGATTCTTATTGATAAGCGTTTACATTTATTAACTGATTTTTTACATATTCATGTATGCGATGATTATTATAATTCTGAAGTGTTCCAACAATTATCCAAACAGTTATTATCTATAAATACAATAGTCGATGAACAAAAACTTGCTTCAATTTTACAAACATTATTTCGTTTTCATATAAAACAAAAATATATTCAACTAGGATATGAATTTCAATCATTTCTTGAAAACTTTAAAACTATTCGTCAATCATTAACACATGATGAAATTGTTAAAGTAGATCATGAACTAAAAATAGAATTTGATCGTTTATATAATGGCCCTATCCGTATAGAATATATTAAACTCATTAAATCACTTATTTTAACAAAAGGTGCTTCTTGTGCATGCGATGATTATGAATTATGCCGATTTAATCTGACTAAAGCCGTAAATGAATTATTTCTTTCTCATATTAATGATACTGAATCTAAATGTTCAATATCAATTAATTCATTTTTACAATTATTTAAAATTCTAATTATTTCAAATACTTCTCTAATAAATAATCGAGATTATGTTGGTAATGGTGGTCGTAATCTTGAGTATTTTCTTGCATATACTCTTTATAACTTGGGACATTATTATCATGGTAGATTTTTAAATCCTGTCAATATGAAATATTATCGAGTTACGGTTGACTTATTTCTTTTTGTTATACAATGCCAGAAACAAATGTTTAAAAATGAACAGTATATTCGAGAGAGTATGTTTAGCGTTATGGAAATGATTTCTAAGACGAGCAATGACATGTTTATTCCAGTTATTCAATGGGAAATATTGAAAATAGTTGTTCATGAATATATTATAAAAGCAAGCGAACCATGGGACGATTATTTTATGAATAGATTTAGACAAATATTAAAAAATTTAATTGAAAATAGTCGATTAGATGTTCTTGTATATATTTATCGTGATGTTGGATTTGAACGATTTTTTAACATACGAAATTATACTCGAGAATGTCTGGATTTAATGACAACAAATCAATGGGGAAGAAAACTATTTTGTGTGATTGTGGATGAGAAATTATTGGAGCTTTTGTTTTCGAAAGAAGATTTAATATTTATTTTATTAGATAAAAAAGAACGTAAATTAATAGAAAAATTATTAAAATTATCACCATGTCTCATTCATCAATTAGATGAAGATGGAAATGATCCTTTACTTTATATATGCCTCAAAGTTCATGGTTGTCGACATCGAATTATTAACTTTTTAATTAAAATGGGATCAAATTTACAAAGAACGAATTATAAAGAACAAAACTTTATCGATGTATTACAATTACAAAGAAATCAAAAATTATTAAACAGACTAATTGAGCACGAGATAGTTATAATTAACATTTAATATTCAATGCTATTTATTATTCTTACTTCATTAAACGAACAATGGAATCATCTCGCTCAAGCTTTTGCATGACATGATAATAAAAATTATAGAAATATATAAATATCATTGTTTTATTCAGCGTAAGGATTGATGTAGTGATGATTCTTCGAAGATCGAATTGGCTGTCACAGAGTTTTTAGTCATTCTACCCTGCACGATGTGTCCATGCTCCCAAAAACAGAGGTACTCTCTTCCTGAGTTTGAAATCTACTTGAGTTTACATAGGATATTCACAAGAGAATATACAGCAATGACATAAAAGAGGATGACAATACAAAATTCCAATATTTAGATTTTTTACATAACTATATTTCCACTAAACAGATGCGTTGATAATACATTTGACAAGAAATGAAAAAGAATTCTAATGCGCCCTTCTTTTTACTTGAATTGAAAATACTCAGGAACAGCTGTCTCAGTGATAGTTTCAGAGACACTATTTACACTAAAGCGAGTATTTTTTCCTTCTGTACAAAACTTTTATTCATTAAAAATCAGATGACGGTGGTAATTCTCGTGGTGGTGGCGATGGCCAATAAGGCGGAGGTGGTGCTTGTATACGCCCGAGTTCAATGATTGTGTGTGGATCGGTTACTGTATTATTTGTATGCACTTTAATAATGGTATAAACATAGACACCAATATAAACTAAACAAATAGCGATCATAACTGCAGTACAAGTAATTTGTATTTTAATCAAAATAAATTTAATCCAACTAATATTTGCGCTGCTACCTAAGATAATACCGAAGAATTTAAGATTTAATGATTCTTCATTACACAAATTATTTGGCCATAAGCATGTATTAGGATTACGAAGAAATAAAACATCATAAAACAAAAGAACACATGATGCAGCAATCGATATAATATGTACAATTAGTACATATGTTGCACAACTCTGTGATTTTACACAGCAACAAACTAGTAAACAACAAAAAACCATATATCATTGATATTCTATTATCATTAGACTTCAAATACTTACAAACTGTAAACGTTGATATCAAAGTTATTATAAAGAAAAATGAAGCAATAAAACCAATGAAAAAAAAAGAATATTTTATATTAATAATCATACTCCAAAATTCTAGACCAATAATGATACTTGCCAATAATATTTCAACTATTGTTATTAAAGCTAGTAATGATGTTGGCCAAAATCGTTGCCATCGTTGACGTCGATTACGTTTTGAATTAAATTGTACAAATTGCATCTGCTTTGATATTGTTATTTTATTACAACAAAAACTTCGAGTTGATATATATATATATATACATGGTATTTTATTATTTTCTAAATTATGAGTCAAATATCAGAGTAAATATGCCTTTTTGTCTCTGTTGATGAGAATCATATTGACTCTGACATAAGTGCTTATGACTGACGCCAACACATTCAAACAACAACAATAAAAAAGAAGCCGTAAAAAAATTAGTGAACAGCTTTTTTTTGTAATCATATAAATAAAATACAATTCAGATTAATCATTTGTAATCAAAAATAGCAGAGAAATATGGAGTTCTGAAATATCCAAGGTAATATCTTCTCAATGGTAATAGTTTCTAACTTAGGATCGTGTTTATTGTAAAATCAAAGTTAAGATTCGATTATTTTCAACGTAATTGATCAACGATCAAACTTTTCTTGAATGATCGTCTTTCATAAATCTTCATCAAATTTGTCACTATTGTGTGTACATTCAATCACTGAATAATCTTCTCTATCGATTAAATCCTATTGACATTTTATCTCTTTTTGTTTTAATTACAGACAATATCTACTTCATGCATTTCCAACGTCTTATGGGGTACCTATTCGTCGTAACAAAATTTCGAAAATAAATTTTTTAATAGATTTTTCATGATTAGGATTTCAACAATGATGTCCAATCATTGATTTATAGAAGTAACTAATTTACTTATATTCTTCTAAAGTCTATATCGAGGTTCATTGTGAATAACCTTCTTAATCAAAAAGTATTTTGTCGAATAATTTCCAGAAACATAAATGAACGATTCTAGGATAAATGTTCAGTGAGGAATTTTGAAATATATCATTTGAGAGAAGTCTGATTTTTAATTGATCACTTTGAAAATAATCGAATTTCATATGTATTGAGGTCCCTTGATTTTGATTTTATGATAAAGAAGATATCAAATTTCGAGCTTCGACTTGAAACTTTGCACAAATGAAAGTCTCAACAATATCAGTTCACTGCGGAAGTTTAACTGATTTCACTACTACGCATCCAGAGATATCAGTATACGAAAAACAACTGCCTTTTTTCTATTAGAAAGTTTTCATCATTCATATCTCAAAGTAGGATATACAAAAATCAAAGAAACCTTCGAAATGACCTAATATCATAGTGATTATAGAAGGACCAGAGCTTTCAGTTAAACAATCCAGTTAAAATTCAATATGTCAAGCACAAAGGCTTAAACAACAGAAACCATAGTCGAGTCAGACATTTTTATATTCTATTTCAAAATGAATAAATCTTAAATTAAAGAATTAACTTGAAAATCGGATATTTTGTCGAACGTAAAACTAGCTTTCATATAACTCAATGAAGAGGACACTCGAGTTGAATCTTTTATCAATACAAATGTCACGGTCAATGAATAGTCGCAAGCGATCTCTTTTGGTTTGAGGCACTCCTTTATTTAAAAGTTCATTTTGATTCAAGTACATTCAGAGCCTCATGAAATCTGCCAGGTATTTTTGTTGAGCGACTATGGAGAATGGGCAACCTGAAATTTTCTGTGAACGTTTATTGACAATAATTAGTTGTTATGGAGATACTACATTTTCACGGTATTATTTTAATGAATGTCGTAATTTAACTCAGAAACACAAAGAAAACAGCTTGTTGAATTTCGACTTGAGATACAGACGGAGAGTGTTAGTGTAGGTGAAACGAATATCCTCACTTACATTCCTAAAGAATTTGATCCTTTTTCTAAATAATGGAATATTTAGTTGATTGTACTTTGTTTCGGAGGGCTTATAATTTTGTCACAACATGCTGTAAACTACCTTGAACTTCTACTATATTTCACAAGACTAATTTGTTCTTGATTACATTTAATTATGGCTAGACTATTTTCAACACAATAGAATAGGAAACACTACTCTCAATTCATTATTATATCTAATTATGCTTAGCAAGATTTATGTGATAGAGTACATTAGTCGATTTGATGTAACTAAATATTAGCTCGATTTATTAGTGGTTTTAAGGCACATATTGTACTCCTTCTATATTGTTAACAAAAAAACACTCTTTATTCAGACGTTTCGATAATTATCGGACTACCTTCTTCAATGTCGAAATTACACTACCAACAATCAACACTGCTATGCATAGTTCTCTTTCTTTTCTTTCTAATATTAGTGCCATTTTGTTTCCGTACCTATATTAGAAGGAAAAGAAAAAGACCGATGTATAATTGTGTTTATTATTGGTCTTGTGATTTCTGCATTGAAAAAGAAACATTCGATAACTAAAACAGGAAGAGTATGTTATATCTGATATTTGTTGTTGTGTATATAGTTTATTTATAATGTTTAAAAATATCAGATATTGAATAGCTATACTCATAGATAACATCATACCGTTGGAACAGTACATCACTTATCAGATCAAAACAAGAGAACACACTAGGAAAAAATATCTAATAGAATAAAAGAAAATATATAGTTAACAACATATGTCTATGCAAACAGAAAGAGAACGAATATAATTATATGGATAATATCTATAAGACATTTGTCTTATGGGATATCTTAGGTGCATGCAATAACAAAGTACATTATCTATAACAAAGTTTACAACGGTCTTTCTAAAAATTGTCACTGATTATTAGTGATTTTTGAAACATTCTATCTTTGTTCTGAGCTTAACTAAAAATTTCATGTAATATTAATTAAACAAATCCTTAGCATCAAGAACATTTCTCTCTGATGATGAAATATTCTACGTTAATTTGTTCTGTTACTAATACTGCCGACGGCATGTTGTTTTTGTAATGCGTCAACGCAAAAAAATCCAGTTAGAAGAAAAGAAAAATAAAAAAGAACACAACATACTACTATTTACGACTGTTGATAACGTGCTCTATAGAAGTAAAAAAAAAAGCGAGTTTGCTTTATTTTAAAATGTGCTATGCACAACCGACACGTGGTTTCAGTTATATAGACGAAGACTCAATTGATCCTGAAGTCAAGTGTAGTATTTGTACTGATCCTTTTATCGATCCTGTGGTAATATCGTCTTGTAAGCATATATTCTGTCGATCAGGCATCGAAACAGTATTAAAAAATACACCAGTTTGTCCTTTGTGTCGTCACGAGCCGATCACTTTCAATGAACTTCATTCGGCGGATCATACCATACACAACTATCTCAATCAACTTTTAGTTAAATGTGACACTTGTGATGAAATAAACATCCAACGAACTCTTTTTGAAGAACATATCAAGAAATTATGTCCCAAAGTACAAATGACATGCTCTGCTGCTGATCTCAAATGTGGATGGACAGGTTTACGTAATCAACTTGATGAACATATTGCCCATTGTACCTTTGAATTAATGAGACCTATTCTTGGTCAATTGCCTATTATGGCAGAGCAAATGGAACGAATTCAGAACGACAATCACGAGTTTCAATTACAAGTAAATGGACTGGTACATCGATGCAAACAACTTGAAATGAAAATAAATGGATCTTGCATGAGTAAATATCAATTAATAGTCGAATTTTCTCAGAGAAATTCTTCATAAATTGAACAGTCAGCAACATTAAAGTAATTAATCATATGCTGTGAAATCTTGCATATAGTAGAGTTAAAGTCCATGGTATATTACACTGATGGACTACTTAGAAATGAGAGAAATATGCATATTTCTAATCCATTTCTAGGAAAATATAGGCGCTACAAAACGAAGTCACCAATTTTTAGTTCATTTATAAGCCTATAGAAAGTTTCTTGAAACATTGAAATTTGATTTTGCTTGATGATAATGTCTTTTTAAAGAATGCTATATAAAGTATTACTTAAATTTCATCACAAAATAAAAACATAAAGGATACGATCCGATTATAATTTTCACGAACACCGAAAAGAAAGCTTTCTATTGCTCTTATCAAGTTGCAGTAGCTGTTTTTTGTGCTCGTCCATATTTGCAGAAAAGAGTTTAGAACGACTTTCTTATTTAAAGGATATTTCGTTTTTTTGAACATGCTATCAGTTAATATTGATGATGTCTTGCCACGTACATAATAACTTCATATCTATGTTTTTATTTAGTTCCATTACGCGCTGCTGAATTTGATATCAATGCTAAATGGACAACAAATGGTTTGACTCTGATAGGAGGCCATGGACGAGGAAATGGACTCAATCAGCTCTCTCATCCTCAAGGTTTATATTTAAATGATGAACAAACATTCTATGTAGCTGATTTTTCTAACCATCGTATCGTTGCATGGAAATTAGGCGAAACAAATGAAACAGTCGTTGCCGGTGGAAATGGAGTAGGAAATAGAGATGATCAATTGAATTATCCAACTGATGTCATCGTTGATAAAGAGAATGATTGTCTTATCATTTGTGATCGGGAAAATCGACGAGTAGTTCGATGGTCTCTTCGAGATTCAACAAGTGGAGAAACAATCATTTCGGATATTAGTTGCAACTGTTTGACAATCGACGATAATAAATCCTTCTATATCACTGATATTGGCAATCATGAAGTTAGACGATGGCGTTTGGGAGAAACTCAAGGGGTAGTGGTGGCTGGCGGAAATGGACCAGGTAATCGTCTCGATCAGCTCAATTATCCTACCTTCGTGTTCGTTGATCGCGATCATTCAGTATACGTGTCAGACTATTATAATCATCGTGTGGTAAAATGGACAGAGAATGCCAAAGAAGGAATAGTTGTTGCAGGTGGTCAAGGCGAAGGCAGTTCCCTTAAACAATCACATTATCCTGGAGGAGTCATTGTTGATCAGTGGGGCACTGTTTATGTGGCAGATAGTGAAAGTCATCGAGTTATGCGTTGGCAAAAAGGTGCGACAGAAGGAAAAATCGTTGCTGGTGGAAATGGCAGAGGAGCACAACCGAATCAACTCAATCGTCCAGCGGGATTACTGTTTGATAAATATGGAAATCTCTTTGTCGCAGATCATGGAAATCATCGAGTACAAAAGTCTGAAATTGTGACATCATGTTCTTGATTTTTATTTAGAAATCATCTGAGTTATATTTCGACGAATAATGATCAAATAAAGTCTTGTTTGAATAAATATGCCCTTCAGAAAAGTATCTATTATGAATACGAAAGTGGACACCAGAGATAACTATCGCGACTAGAAATTTGCTGCTGTCATGATGGTTTTTGAGAAATTCTACAAAAATCTTTTCCAGCACTGTGCTACATTAGTACAGTTCGATTGAATCCATCAGACTCTATCTCGATTCTGACTGCTGGACTTGTAGATACTAAAATCTGGTGCACATTCATCCAACTTTGCAATTTCAATAAAAAAAAGCCGTCATTGATATATGGCTACCACAATGGTATGCTTGAAATATCTCCTGTACAGTCATAGATATCATAGCTTCGTATCCTATCATTTGACGAGAAGATACATTGTGCATAGTACAAAGGAGCCTGAAAGTTTTATGATAAAAAATTTAAACAGTTGCGAAATGATGTAACAGTATGAAAAAGACGAAAGATTGACAAATACGAGACGATTGAATGTTCTTAAGAATGCCACATACATTTCTTTATCTCTGAACACTAATACAATGCTTCCTATTCTCAATTTTTCATTCAATTATGGACCTTAATTGTTCTATTATTATACTTAATCTCTTCGCTACCGCAATATAATTTGAACTTCATTGAAAAATTCAGATTCGTTTCAATAGCTTTTATTCAAAAAAAATACATTCTTTATATTGTGTTTTCCTTTAGCATGGTAGATATTTTAATGATAAAGTCTTTATGAAACTTTGTGTCTGAGTTACGTTGTATGCGTTTATAACGAGAACTGTTGGATCATTCAATCCGTTTACACAAATGAATACTGTTTGCAATTTGAGCTTATGGAGTAACATACAAATCAATTTCTTTCTAATAAAAATCATGTATAGATCGCATGTATAAATCACAGGACCCACGCATTGATGCGTCGTTCCAGGTTGGTCGTATACAGGCAACATGAGTACTGCACGACATTAATATACAGCATCCATCTTAACAAATGGAACAGTTTTAGTTAATGGTAAAATTTCGCATAACAATTTAAATACTGTTAGTACAGAAGTATATGGTCGATCCACAGGAGTACAAATACCAACAGCATAATTAGTCCCCAGTTCCATCATATAATTTCTGTATTAGAAAATGGAAAAGTGCTAGTTACTGATGGAGAACATGATAGGCGTTCCTCAGTGAGTGCAGAATTATACGATCCGTCAACAGGATCACGGACAAATACTGGAAACATGAGTATCACACGATGAGCGCACACCGCATCCACATAGGTAAATGAGACAATCGTAGCTGCTAGTGAAGAATCTGTAGATTTCTCGACAACTAATGAATTATATGATCCATTAACGGGGCTATGAACAAATACTGGCAGCATGAATGATGCACGACAATATCACATGGCATCTCTATTAACAAATAGAAATGTTTTAGTGATTGACGAAAGCCATGATTTGTCTAGTTTAAATAGTTCAGAACTCTATGATTCATCAATAGAGTTTTGTACAGATGCTCACAGTAATAATACTACACAAGTGATTAGTACGACATCGATATTTAATCAATAATCATGTCTCACTTTCTGATGATCGCAATTATTTTTATGAACATTATTACATGGATATGATTTTCATTTGACTCAAACTTTCAATAAATTTCTCATTCTCATCAGAAAAATTTGCTCTATGTTGTAAAAAAAAGAATTTTTTTTCTTTCAGAATGATGCGGTTCTAGGTATGTCACACTCCGCTGAAACTCTAGTTCCGGATAGAACGGATTTTTTTTATAGAGTACAATGCTTCAGTAATACTTTTGTGGTTAGTTTTTGAATAAATTATTTTGTCGTACAATTCTTCAGGATTGCCACTGTACATTGTCAGTCAGTGCTGTCGCTGAGATGGCTCATCATTTACCAGGTGCCATAGAAAACCTTCAATTGAAGTCATGCATATGTAATCAATCATGTAGTTCAAATATCGATAAGTGACTGTTTCCTAGATTTAACGACTGACGTATGCAAACAACATTCTTTTTCGTTCTCTGATTGATGTTAAGCTTTTACAATGATGCTAACAATTTTCATTTATTTGTGAAGTAAAATTGGTAGTTAGCCTAAGAATGTATAGCAACAACAGTGAAAAATGCTTAATGAAATACAAGACACCTAGGCTTCTTCTAAGCTGTTCACTAATGGTATCAAACATAACACAAAGCTACGATGAAACGCGAGAGTTTACACGTTTTGAATTAAGAAAAAAGACACGTATCAACCTCGTTGTTTAGATTATTTATTTTCCTTCCTTAAATTAGAGCATCTACTAAACCTAGCTTTAACTTCGAATAAAGATTTTGATGTTCAAAATACAAAATAGTTTACGAGCTACAAGGGTCTAGGTGTGATTGTGGTTATGAATCTTTTGTTCACTCTTGTTTATATACTATATCTACATCTATTGCCACAGTAACACTCACATCCAGAGAATGTTCTATGGTATAAACATAACTGATATCGTCTATTGTCAATTTTTTTAAAAATAGTACCTGATAATTAAATTGTTGCAACCTGGATATCAGTAGTTGTAGTATGATTCTAAATAAATCATTGTGAAAAATTTGCCTAAATTCATTCATAATATATTGTTTCATCAACCAATATATCAATCGCTCTATTCTATTTTGAGTATTGATTGCTAAAATGTTGTATCATCGTGAACTTATGCCTTTCCTATTTGCTTATTTTATCGAGACTCTAATTTTTGAATTATTTAGTCTGTAAGATTATTCAAATCAACAATTATCTCAAGTACATGTTGGTGGGTCACGTCACTTTTTTTTCATGTAAAATAATATAATGAGAAACCGTCATTTTCGACATGATTTTTGAAGTGTGGGTGTACATATGCGTTGCCTTTTTCTTCTCACCTACACCCTACACAATCATCTTTATGCTTCAAGAAACCTTCTTTATGTTTTTCATAGCCAGTTGGACAAGTGGAAGTAAAATCAATTCTGATGAAAAATAAGTAGCTTAAAAATCATCCACATGTGTTATCGTCGCTCGTCTACATAGGAGTAGCTGCCATAATTATTAACAGACACGATTTAATTCGTTCGAACAACTTACCAAAAGTTTTTCAAAAATTCCTTTTGTTGTTCAACTTCGCTTTACAATACTTGTTACGACACCAAATAGATGACTTCAGCTTTCAAGACTTTTTATTGACTGACTTTTGAGCACTTTTTTGCAAACACGTTCAAGTTGCTCTTTTCCGTAGCTTATCAAATAGTATAAAATGATGTCTTTTCATCTGTACTAGACTATAATGAAGAAAGATCCGAAGCTATTTTCCAGTTGAACTAATGGCTTGTATGCTTTCACATTTTTCGCTATATAGGTTCGTTGCGTGCAAAGTTCTCTGATTCTTCTGTTGCTGCTTTGATCCATTTTTTCCGCTGTACTAAATGCAAGATTCCGAATACAACCGCCATCATCGAATAAGCTACCGTGAATCTCCATCCATTATCGGTAGGCTTGATCAATAAATCCACAGAACTAGCATGAATTACTCCAAAAAGAGCAAGTACGGCTGCGATTATTGACCATACGACTGCTCGGATAAACTTGCGGTCGATTGTATAGATTAAAATAGCCGTGATAACAATGCATAGCAACATTGAACCACCTGAGAAGTTCACCAAACCTTGATAAGAAAATGTTGAAATCATGGAAGTGACATTGGGCGAGAATCGAACATTGGCTACAGTGAAATTCGAATAACTAGCGGAGACACTCGTGACAATAGTGTTATGAGCCCAATCGGCAACTACTGGCATCAGACCAAGCAAAAAGGCTGGATAATGACGACGAGAAATAATAACCAATGTATCAGCACATATTAACAAACCAATGAAGATCTATTTTACAAAAATTGTGTTTATCGATCATGAAAAACTGTACGAACAGAAATTTTATTTTCCTAACTTCTAGCAACGGTCTCGATGCCATATCCTAGTTTTTGAAGTGAATGATATCAACACCACACTCATAGAGTCGTGCAAACCTCTTCAAATCGATGATTACATCGTTCAATGCTTACCCTTTACGTGTGCTCTAGTCTCACTTAAAAAAGGAATCAAGCCAATGTCACAAAGTGCCACATATTTATAGTGGTCGTGTTCAGAAGAGCTTATGGCAATGCTAATTACTTATCGACATAATAGATGACTAACTCGTTCGTCATTCAAACTTTTCTATTTTCTTCACTCTTATTCTGTTGACAATCAACTTTTAGTGGTTCCGAAATGGCACAGTACTTTCGAACAATAAAAGTCTTCAACATCTAGGATTCTACTAAATACTCATCAGCAGACAAAACGATGAGGATTTTGAAAACTTACAATTATGGGACGGACTGCTACGATGGCGATGATAGATATGATAAATGCGCTGACGCCTAAAAAACTAATAGGTAGAAACGCGATACCATTGACCAACGAGTAGCCTTGCCTAGCACCCATCTTTTTCATCACAGGATGACCAATGTAACCTAAACAGACTTCAATGATATTGCTCATTGAAAAGAAAATTTCTCACTTGTCATACTGAGAATTGAACCAAACAAAGTAGAAATAAGAGTTCCTATTCCGTCAGCAAACGTGGCTTCTTGGGTGGAGTAAAGGTCTCCAGCTATTCTGGCCGATTCCACACATTGAATCGTCACAACAGCATTTGCTACAGCCGCAGGAATCGTTGTTGCAAGATGTGGCAGGACTTCATCAATATTTTGGAGTACTTCTCTGATTGGAAAGCTTATTGAGTAAGCTTTCATCAATTGATATGCTTCACGCACTTTTGTTACATCATTGAGCGACGTAGCCCACCCCAGACCTGTGCCGATCACAAGAGCCACGACAATTGGTGGAATAGGACCAAAGCTCACTGAAAAGATCATGGGT